CACACTTTACAGACGGATTGTTAGCTGGATTCAAAGTCAAAAAACCGCTTAAATTCGTGGATCCAGTTGGTGGAGGAATCTGGGATTGGAATGGCGGATTTTCCATCCCCATTTTTAAAAAAGAAACAAAACGCGTTATTAAGGATGCGGCATTCAAATGCTACCTCTTTAAACAAGAAGAAGAAAATAAGTAAAAACAATCATCAAATTATTCTTGATGAATCTATTGCAAGTCCGTTGCTAATTAAGAAAATCCGAGATGTTCCAATGCATCACTAAAATACGAAACTATTGCCAAGCCAATTATTAACCAAGTGTTACAAAGTCAGAAAGATGATGTTGTTCTTGTTGGTGATGACCATTACAACTTTGATTATAAGAAACATGGTTTTTATTTAATTTCAAAACTCTTCCAACATAATTCTAATAGAATGTTTAATTTGGCTATTAAAGTTATGAAAATGTTGAATTTATGGAATAACAAGTTTATTGTCATGATGATTGTAAATATATTTCCAATAATAGTATTTGAAAACGTTAGTGAAGAACTGAAAAGAGACAGAGAACTTGTTTTAGAGGCTATTAAGTACAATGTTGATGTTTTGAAATATTGTCCTGATGATTTGATAAGTGATAGAGAAATTATTATGAAAGCAGTCCAGACTGATGGATTTGCCACTTCAATATGCATCAAAACAATTACAATATAACAGAGAAATAGTACTTCTTGCCGTTAAGAATAATGGAAAGAGTCTAAAATATAATTACATTAATAAACATGACAAAGAAATAGCAATGGAAGCTGTTAAGCAAAATGGCCTTGCACTTCAACATGTATGTCATTATTTAAGAGACAAAGAAATTGTATTGGCAGCTATTAAACAAAACATGAGTGCTTTTGAATTTGCATCTATTGAGATAAAAAATAATAGAGAACTTGTAATGGAACTAGTTAAGAAATGTGGATGGATGTTTGAATATGCCTCAAAACAACTAAGAGGTGACAGAGAAATTGTAACAGAAGCTATTAACCGACATGCTGACATTGTTTATAAACATGTATCAAAGGAATTAAGAAATGACAGACAGTTGGCAATGATAGCAATTAAAAACCATGCAAGTTTACTTGCATACGCCTCAGAGGAAATTAGAAATGACAAGGAAATTGTAATGGAAGCTATTAAGGGTAAAAGAGAAACGCTCAAAACACAAATCCAACTGCATTTTCTGTAACAATTTCTGAATTCATCCATTTAGAAAGTGACAAGTTTACACCTGTTGGCAATTCATGCATTACCTATTGAATTTGATTCACATCATTTCCATCCATTCCTTTTCGAATGGTTTACCAGCAGTATCAAAGATATGATATTCATGACCATTAGAGGAACCAAGATGAACATGTTCATTGTGTGTGTTGGGTGTAAAACATGTTAATTTAAAGTCAAGGAGCAATTTCATAATTTGTTAATTTAAATTGTAAAAGTCAAGGATCAATTTCATAATTTAAAAAAATGTTCACCACAACATACGAGCTATGCAATATTCTTCAATTTTTACCTCCTCGAGATTTGCTTCCCTTTCGTTTAGTTTCTTCCGTGTGGAATTCTTCTTGTTTAACTAATTCTATTTGGCAACAATTTTGCAATATTTACATGAGGAATCATCAATACCATTTCGACTCTCTAGATCTCGACGACAATTCAACGACTTCAAATTTATTCTATTATCAATTATTCAGAAAATTATTCTACTTTCCAATAATGAAATCCGTTAAAGTTTATGATGATGAAGAATCACCAACTACAGTGTATCATAATCCTGTGGAGGATATTGTCATGCGTTTGCCTGATGAATTTGGAAAATTTGTTGAGAAATATGAGTATTGTGAAGAATTGTCGAGATTTGCGTTCATTTCCTTGTTGATTGGATTTCTTTCTGGAAGAAATGGACGAAAGTTGGACTATTTCAATGATACAGTTCGTGTTGGGAGTAAAGATAAGAAAGAAATAGACGAAATGCCACTATGTTGCTTATTTGCAATCATTCAATATTCAGAACCTACTGAATTAATCATTTACACTCCAAATTATTTCCCAAATTCGAAAAGATTTATATTTTGTAATTTTGAATCGGATTTATTTTGGGAATTTAAATCTTGTGGTTCAGAACCTTTTATGGAGATTAGAGATTTATACGAAATGTTTCCTTACAAGAGAAATACTGATCTTTCAAAATACAGAAATGGAGATGGTGCAATTTATTTTTCAAAGAATTGGAAAGAGTTAACCATTCGAGTTTTGTATTGGGAGCGCTACTTTGATGAATAAAGTATTCAAAAGTTTGATTATTAGGAAAGCTCTTTTTGTGAATCTGTTTTAATATTAAATGTTTTGCATTCTTTTAGTTTTAGAATAAGAGTATTAAATATTGAGAAACAATGTTAATGATTCGCCCATAACCTTATCGATTCCTTCAAGTAATTTGCACAAGGTAAAAAAGCCACACCAACAAGAAGAAGTTCTTAACTGTTGCGTTTGGAAACGTTTATCCTTATTTCAACAATTGTTAAGTTACATTACAGACAATTTTAATAGGTCGGGACCTGCTCACTATAGATTTTGATCCTTCCAAGGCAGGCTCCAGTCTTAATCGCCATTATCAAGGTGGAACAGCCCTTGCAGCTCAATATTTTAGTTCAACGAGTAGCTTAATTGTTGTTCAATTTAAAAAAATGAGTCTACACCAAATAGAAGAGGTGGAGATCACAAAATCTTCTTACTTTCCGACTATGTTGATTCACAAATTCCCATACTTCTTACTTTCTGGTAAAACAAGCCTGACAGATAAAAGCATCAAAGTAAAGTACCACTTTACCTCACAAAACATTAAAGAAGTTGTGGATAAAGTTATTGATTTGGGTTTTGCTTTTGTGGAAACATATAAAATAGTGGAGACATATTATGACGATGAATACTTCACAAACATGAAACAAAATACATGGATCAAAATAGTAAACACCTCTAATACCAAATTTAAGAAAATTTCCAAAAAACAAGCGTCAATTATAGAAAGCAATCATATTAAATACGAAGAAGGGTTTTGCTTGGGATGTTCATCAAAATTACAACCACAATTTATGCTTGTTGTGTACAGAAGTATTTACCAAAAAGAAAACATTCAATTCACATATGATACTGTGGAATATCAAGAGCACAAGTTTGTGGTATTTTGCATTTCTGGAAATGTATCAGAGAGTTCAGCTACAGTAGACGACAACCTCCATGATCCTGTATTTGAGGTTTGTATGAAAAGTAGAAGCAAGATAATTGAGATTATATGGAGAACAAATAAGGAACTTTACAAAATATTACAGGAAAATAATGTAATACCCGATTTGGAATACTCTTCATTTAATTTTGAGCCTTTAATCGATCGAAACTCATCTTCCTTCAATGAGATGAAAAAGAGAGTCCCACGAAAGTGTGAAAACCTTCAATGTGCAAAGGAATAAATTGCTGCAAGTGTTGATAAAACAAGTGGTGGCTCCAATTAGCTATTAATCAAGTACTGATCCAATTTCATTGTTAGTACAGTTTATTGAAATTAGTTAATTTTTACAGCTTTAATTGGGGTTTCGAATTGGAATGGATCAAATATTTCAGAGCTGGTATCAATCAACATACTTTCTCTTTCAAGTTGAATCAAAATTCCCTCAACAATACTTCCAGCAAGATAATCCAACTTTCTAATAGTTGACTGTTGATGATTCTGATAATTTACAAGTGGATAACAGCAGGCTTGACCGCTAATAACTTGTTGAATCCTTTCTGAACATCTCTTAAAAGCAGAACTATTTAAAAGAAAGTTCTGAGCTGTTTCTGGATCAACTGAATCATTAAATTGTTGAATTTTAGTATCATCAGCAATAGTATCCAATTTGGTAATAGCAAAGGCAACAACTCTTCCCATTTCTCTGGCACTGTCGTGCAAAACTTTGAGTTTTTCCAAGAAACCAGGTGTGAAACAATCTTCAAATGTCAACATTAATAATACAGCATTGCTTGCTCTCGAAAGATCACTTTCACTAACACTTGGATCATTCTTTGATTGACCAAATTTAAGCATACCTTCCAATAAACATTTAAAACGATCAACTTGCAAATTATCTGAATTGAAATCCCAACCAAAAATATCATTGATTGAGATCTTCTCAGTAAGTGGATAATTATTAACACTCATGGTAGTATGATCTGCTCCACCTGAAACTCTAACTTCCAATCCTGTTGGTTTCTCTCTCATTCCCTTTATGGCAGAGTGAATAGTCATGATGAAACTACTTTTACCAACATTTGAAGGGGCAAGAACTTGAATTCTGAGCCAGTCAATTAGATGACCAAGTCTCATGAAACGATCTTCAGTTTCTGATCTTGCATTTGGATTGTAGTAAGTTCTTGGAATTTGAAACACTTTTTTGTTGTTGAGTTTTGTTTTCTTTCGATGGGTGTTTGTTTATTTAAAGATTTCTGGAACGTGAAGTTATTGTAATAATTGTATTATTAGTAAACGTGATAAGTATATTTGGTTCAAACGTGATATTTACAATAGTTAGTTGAGTTTCAACAGATTTTCATCTCTGATTCAAAGAGAAAATTATAACAAGTTTATTGAAAACAATGTTATTAATGAATTATTATTAGAAAGCACGTTTCTGTTACTTTACTCAAGCACCTTTCTAATGGTTTAGAATGGAGGTTGTGTTTATCACGTTTTGGTTAAATAATAGTAAAAAAACAAACGCCATCCTAAAGAAACTCAACTCAACAACCGACACATCACAACTTCCCGAACCAAATAAGAATGTCTTCCCCAACCCACTATGCTTGCCTTGAATCCAACAACTCAAAATTCAGATTTGCCTATCATGAATCTTTCTCATCCCAACAATCTGGAAAAGTATTCTTGATTGACTTTGAAAATTCTGTCAAGTATATGAATGGCAATTGTCCTCTTGAAGTCATCAATACAAAGGTTTTTACTCAATTGGTAAGTGGACTTGTTTCAGTCAAGATTTCAGACGAAACTCAAGGAGTCATTGAACTCACCATTGGAACCAAGTGTTTGAAATTGGAAAAGACTGAAATTACAAGTCAAGATTTCCTTCAAGAACAGGTTTACTTATTGGAGAAGAAGTTTGAAAGAATGCTCAAAGGTAAGTTGTAGCCATTTCGAATACTTTGATTGAAAACAACTTTTTAAAAGAAAATGATAACAAGATTAAAAGTTTGAATGATGAAGTTAATAGCTTAAGAGCAATGAATGAAGAATTGGTTCTAGCTGTGAGAACCAAGAACGAAGAACCTGTTCAACCAGTTGCTGAAGAAGTTCCACCAGTTGTTGCTGCAGAATAATTGAAAACTTACGATTACAAATAAAAAACCTAGTGCCAGTATTTACCACTATCCATTCACCTTCTTAAACTCATTATTAAACTCATTATTCATAAATTCCCTCATCTACTTGTTCTCAGTTAAAATTTGAAGATAAACACAATTATTGCAAAGGGTTACCTTCTTCAATGTTCGTTTTCCCTCCCTGAGAGTGATTACAACCTTTATCAAGAATGCTTTTCTTTTCTCATCTTGTTTTTTTCAACTTGGTTAAATAGTCAATTGTCTTTGACACACTGAATCATCCTTAATTAGTGCGAGTCTATAAAAATTGAAACAAGGAAAAACCAATAACGCAATCCTTCTTGTTGCCTGTAACAAATACTTGTCATGACAAGCAGATGCCAAATCGGTTATTTTTCAAAAATGGAAATTTGAGAGAAATCCATTGGCACTCAATTCATAAAAGATTACAAACGCTAATCCGCAAAGTACAATTCAAGCAAAAGTATGATGCAGTAACGGACTAAAATTGAGCAATTTATATCCATGTGATTTAACACGAAACATGTCAAAATTGAAAGAATGTTGTACTACAGTATCTCCATTGAATATCACGCAACCTTGTTTAACAAATATTGAAGATACAATAAGAAAAAATGGCAAGACTCATTACTTTCGTCTTGTTTCTAATACTATTGCACTTGAGTTTAGTCAACTCTATTGCACCTCTGTACAACATCACTCACATCTACCTACAAGGTTTCAACTCTCCTGAAGGAATTGCTGTTGGTAATAATAATGAACTTTTCATTTCAGATTCCAAAAACCACCTTGTGAAAAGATTAGATTTGACAACATTGAAAGTAACAATCGTGGCAGGAACTGGAATTGCTGGAAACGACACTAATACTACAGCTACAGGTGCCATGCTGAATTATCCAGGTGGTATATGTGTTACATCAGAAGGAAAGTTATTGATTGCTGACACTTTAAATCATGTCATTAGAGAAGTAAGCAATGGACAGATTAAAACAATTATTGGAAAATGTGGAGTTTCTGGTGTTGCCAATGATTTGAATACCCTCCCTACAAATGCATACCTAAATCAGCCGAAATATGTTACCTCACTTCCAAATGGCAATATTTACTTTTCAGATTCATTGAATTACAGAGTTAGAAAGTATACGAAAGCTAATAATTTCATCTCTACTCAGCAACTTATTGTACAAGGTTCTCTATCCGCTGGAGTCGCAGCCTTTTCTAGTACTGAAATGACTTTTGCTGAACCAGGTACTCATCGTTTAATTAGGACAGGCTCTGGAGCTACTTCCTATTTAGGTGTTGGGTCTGCTGGTTATGCCGATGGCAGTGCATTCAATGCCTTGTATAACGCACCTACTGGAGTTGCTTATGGACCCAACAAGGATCTTTACATTGCTGACAGAGGAAATCATGTTGTTCGTGTTGTGAAATTTTCTTATGGAACTACTGGTACCCAAAATTTAGCTACAATTTCATTATTTTCAGGCGTTGCTAAAACTCCTGGAAGTGATTTGGTAAAGATGAATAATACCTATGATGTGGATGTTAGTTCAGAAGGTCATATTTTTATTCTTGGTAAGTAGTAGTGAAGAATTTATATTTCGAATACTTTGAAAAAGATACTGGTAATCTCCGTATTAGAAAAATTGAACCTTATTGCACAGGAGGTTATGTATACAATGCTACTATGAATGAATGTGTAGCTGTATGTTTCGGTTATCCCCAATATAGTGGAGATGTCTGTTCTGGAAGAGGTGTTTGTTTGAATTTTGACATTTGTAATTGTTTCAATAGTTCACTTTGGGGAGGAGAATTTTGTGAAATTCCTAAATGTAATAATATAATGGCTAATGATACTAGTGTTTGTTCTGGAATTGGTACATGTGTCTATGCAAATAATTGCTCATGTTGGAATTCAACTTTTTGGGGAGGTCAAAATTGTGACATTCACAAATGTGGAAATGTTTTGGCAAATTCTCCAAGCGTATGTTCAGGAAATGGAAATTGTCTAGCACCTGGAGTTTGTAACTGTACCGAAATGTATGGTGGTTCCAATTGTAACGTTCCTAAATGTTCGAATATTTTGGCCACTAGTCCAGAAGTTTGTTCCTATTCGAAAGGTCGATGTGTTTCTCCTAACAATTGTTCATGCTCTGAAGGATATCATGGAAGTAACTGTGAATTAGTTTCTTGCTTTGGTGTCAAGAACACTAGTTTGAATGTTTGCTCAGGAAAGGGAGTTTGTCTCTCATTGAATAATTGTACATGTCAACAAGGTTTCTATGGAGAAAAGTGTCAGTATTACGATTGTTTCAGTGTAAGAAATGATAAGAAGGATGTTTGTTCATCACATGGTAATTGTTCCAATATCGATACATGTAATTGTACAAAACCTTACTATGGAACAAACTGTGAAAAATTTGATTGTTATGGAAAGGCTCAAGATTCGATTTCAGTTTGTTCTTCAAGAGGATTCTGCTCATCACTTGATAACTGCACATGTCAAGAAGGATATTATGGAAAAGAATGTGAAAAATTCAACTGTTATGGAGTGAATTCACTCAACTCTACAGTTTGTTCAGGAAAAGGAAGTTGCGTTTCTGCTAACAATTGTACCTGCCAACAAGGGTTTTATGGAAGCAATTGTGAATTATTCGATTGCTATGGTGTTAGAAAAGATAAGAGAGATGTTTGTTCATCACATGGTAATTGCACAAATATTGACACTTGTAATTGTACAAAACCTTATTATGGACAAAATTGTGAAAAATTTGATTGTTATGGAAAGGCTCAAGACTCACTTTCAGTTTGTTCTTCAAGAGGAATCTGCTCATCACTTGATAATTGTACATGTCAAGAAGGTTATTATGGAAAAGAATGTGAAAAATTCAACTGCTATAATGTTTCCTCACTCAACTCAACTGTTTGTTCTGGAAAGGGAGTTTGTGTCTCCCTGAATAACTGTACCTGTCAACAAGGTTTCTATGGAGAAAGATGCCAATATTATGATTGTTTTAGTATCAGAAATGATATGGGAGATGTTTGTTCAGCAAGAGGTATCTGCTCTTCTCTTGATAACTGCACATGCAAGGAAGGTTATTATGGCAAAGAGTGTGAAAAGTTTAATTGCTATAATGTTAGCTCACTCAATTCGAATGTGTGTTCTGGAAAAGGAGTGTGTCTCTCATTGAATAATTGTTCTTGTCAACAAGGTTTCTATGGAGAAAGTTGTCAGTATTATGATTGTTTCAGTGTAAGAAATGATAAGAAGGATGTTTGTTCATCACATGGTAATTGTTCCAATATCGATACATGTAATTGTACAAAACCTTACTATGGACAAAATTGTGAAAAATTTGATTGTTATGGAAAGGCTCAAGACTCACTTTCAGTTTGTTCATCAAGAGGAATCTGCTCATCACTTGATAACTGCACATGTCAAGAAGGTTACTATGGAAAAGAATGTGAAAAATTCAACTGTTATGGAGTGAATTCACTCAACTCTACAGTTTGTTCTGGTCACGGTAATTGTACAGACAAAGACACTTGTGCATGTAAATCAAGCCACTATGGATACAATTGTGAAATTCCAAATCCATGTACTTTACAATGTGTAAATGGAACTTGTTTAAACGAAACTGGAATTGCTATTTGTAAATGTGATTCAGGATATGGAGGAAGTTTATGTGATTTATTTGATTGTTTTGGTGTATCAAGTTTGAATCAATCTGTTTGCTCTGCTTCTGGCACATGTCAATCTCCAGATGTTTGTGAATGTCAATTGGGTTATTTTGGTTTGGATTGTGACATTTTCAATTGTTCAAGGGTTAATAAGAGCATTTGTCAAAATGGTTATCAATGCTTAACTAGTGGTACTTGTACTTGCTCAGAAGAATGGGGTGGAGACAAATGTGACAAAATCAAATGTTATTCTCTGACTTTTGACATGCCAAATGTTTGCTCTGGTCATGGCAAATGCTCTAGTTACAATAATTGCACATGTAATAATGGTTGGAACGGTTTAGAATGTTCTCTGGCCAAATGTAATGGAGTTCTTTCGAATAACGAAAGTGTTTGTTCTGGAAAGGGTAAATGTCTGAAACCAGACGAATGCTCATGCAAAACTGGATTCACAGGAGGAAACTGTCAATACAATGTTTGCTATTCCAAGTCAGAAATTGATTCAAATGTATGTTCAGGTAATGGCCAATGTAAATCTCCAAACAATTGTGAATGTTTGAAAGGTTTCGTTGGAAATGAATGTCAATATCTCAGTGTTCAAATGGATGTTGATAATGCTATAATTTATTCCTATTCTAATGTATTGAACATGTTTTTGAATGAATCTGTAGTTGAAGGATGTGAAAATTTCATTCAAGAAAATGATATTTCCAAATTTGGTCAAGTTGACTTGCTTAAATGTCAATGGAGAAGAAATAATCTCAAGATTTATTTAGGATATAATCATCTAATTGAAACTGGTTCAATTATCAAGACAACATTTGGAATTCAACTCCAAGTTGACTTTGAAATTCCTCAAACTCCTTCCACTCCATCCATTCAGCAACTCGTAGATTTGATTCCATCCTCTCAGGACTTGATTATCAGATCATACATTCCACCTTCATATCATCATTTCAAGAAAATTTCTCAAATTTGGTCTTCCTCCATTGAAACTGTTTCTTCCACCTTGGTCAATTATGCAAACAAGACAGTTATTAGTATTCCAAAGAGTATATTGAAAGATATTCCGAATGTATTCGATATTGTGATGAATACGACTAATGAGAAGTATATTTCGACTTCAAGTGTTAAAAATCTTCAAGTCAACCCAGAAGGACAACTTATTCCTTCCTTTAATGTTTTGATTGATAATCTTGAATGTAAAGGATATAATTGTTTATTTGAAGTATCTCCTCTGTCATTAAATACTTCACTTTCGTATGATGTATCTGGAATGATAAATACAGAGCTTTCTAATAAGCAAATGATAAGAATTCCACAAGAAAATTTGTCAACTTTTAAGGTAATAGGTACGCATAGGGAATCTAAATCAACTCTAAATATCGACTATCCTATCAAAAAGTCACCAATCAATTCAATTGACTTGAGATTAACTAATGTTAACAGAACTATTTCTCTAAATTCAGGAAAGTTAACAATTGCATTAGAAAGTGATGATCCTTTCGTTTCTTCTATTACAAAATCTTATTCTTGGTATTGTTACAGAACTTTAGACAAGTCAATTATGGATGTTTCGAATAATTTATGTCAAGGAACATCTTGCCAATTAGAAACGGATTTTAATTCTCTTGGATTCTTTGAAGGTATCTATTTGATAGGAACCAATGTTACGACAGCGGAAAGTACCTTCTCCTATTTTGGTTACATTGAATTGGTCAACTCTGCCACTTCTGTTCCTAAGTTAACACCAGATTACATTCCATCAGTATATCCAGAAGGAAAGAATCTTTCGTTATATTGTGTGGTCGAATCTGAAAGTTTAGTTACTTTGAATTGGAAAGTCTTGAATGGAAAATTGAGAAATTCTCCAAATCTTGAACTTTTCACAGTTTCTAATATTCTTGTTGGAAACTCCCTAGAAGTTTACCTTAATATTGGAAAAGAATATCTTATTGAAGGTGAATTTTACGAATTTGAATTGGAAACTACAAATACAGATGGCTCTTCCAAGTTGACACTTTCTACTAGAATCGATATGAAACCAAGATTTACTTGTTTATTAGAAACAGTGAAAAACGAAAGGGATATTATTGCTCATGAAACTTTGGTTTCTATTAGTTGTTTAACACTTCCACAAGATTCCATTTCTAGTATTGTAATGGAAGTTCACTCACAAAATGAAAGATTATTTGTCCTTTCGAATAGTTTGAAAAATACAATTGTGACTCACTTACCATTCTTCAATCAACAAAGTTTAGTTTTGGTTGTGAAAATGATCAATGAATTTGGAACTGTGAGTGAATTTAGAAATAACTTGCCATCTCTATTGCCAGAAAAAATTGATATTTCGAATAATTCACTTCTTTCTAGAATTAATTATGTCAGTAATGAATTTGCTGCACTGAGACAATCCAAACCACTGACTGTAGATACAATTAATTCTGTAAATGCCTTAATATCATTAATTACTCAAGACGAAACTTTGAATAATGTCGCCGAAAGAATAATCTCACAAGATGCAAAGAGAGAAGCAGTTTCCATTCTTATTGATATGTTGAGTGCTCTGAAAGATATTCCTTCATTAAGCTACAACGCTGATGAAAAGATTGTTCAATTAATTCTGCCTTCAATTTCGACTATCTTTAATCTATTAGAAAAGTTCTCAGTTTCAACTAGTTCTGAAATAGTTTGGTGGATGGACTGGATATTCGCTTCTATGAATCAAGCACGTTCCTATTATTCCTCCAATGTTTACAAAACTCTGTTAGATTCAAAGAACTTTGATGAAATTTCAAGTTTAATGACCATTCTTTCGAACACTTTTTCCAATAACGCAACAAAGCAAGGAGAATTAGCCAAGTATCATTTAGATTACTACAAACTCACAGGAAAATCCTCCTCTGATGGATTAATCTCCACTCAAATCCTTCAACTTGAAAAACAATTCAATTCCAAATCAGTTTCCATTTCCAAAGATTTGTTGAATGTGAAAATTACCTTCCCAAGCAAATTTTCAGAACAAGTTCAAAATTTAGGATCAAAATCTATGATTTTCTATGCCTTAACAATGATTACCAATGACACCAATGATGGAAATATTCTTTCAGTGAGGCCATCTTTGGATTTGTCAATTTATGACAAGAATGGAAATGGAGTGAAGGTTGACAATCTGGCAGATCCTATTATTTTCAAATTTGAAGGACTTGTTACAGCTAACAAGACTGGTATCAATGCATCCTGCGTCTTTCTTGATAATTCGAAAAGTTGGTCTCAATCAGGAATTAGCAGCTCTGTAACTATAACAAAACGAAATGGAGACTTGTTATATTTTGATTTAGAATGTCAAGTATCCCACCTCAGTTTATTCACCATTCAAGAATTACCATATATTATCAACCCAGCAATTCCTCCAATAGTTACAGAACCATCTTCACCAATTTCCGAATTGAGTAATAACAGAAATCCTGATAATGCTCAACAAGGAATGGATACAGGTGCTCTTGCAGCAGCTATTGCAGTTCCAGTTGCATTTGTTGTTATTCTAATTATCATTATTGTTATCATTCTCTTGATTTGCATTGTTTGGAGAATGAAAAAGAAACAACCAAGAACGGAAACTCTTTCCAATGTTGCTACTATCAACTCTGGAGATATTGAATTAGTCTATGATAATCTTCCAACTCAAGCATATTACTTAAAACCAAGCAGTGGTTACAGTTTCCAATTAGAAAATGCCTTCATCAGTGCTGAATTCAATCCTCACTTGAGATATACCAATATTGCAAGAATTGGAAGTGGAAATGTCTTTAAAGTAATCGATTCTGTCAAGAATTGTTCAAAAGCAATCAAAATTGTCAAATACAAATCTGAGGAAGATGTGAACAAATTCCTTAATCAAGCCGTTCATCTACTGAATACTACCAATCCAAATATTTGTAAAATTAATGAGATTTTCGTGAGTACAATAGATCAAAAGATTTGCATTGATATGGATTATTTCGAAATGGGTGATTTCAGCAAGTTGACTAATCGAAACTTTAATGTTTCTGAAAAGTTAGTGAAACAGATCATTTTTCAAATATGTACAGGTTTGGAATATTCACATTGTGTTGAAAAATGCATTCATGCAAACATCAAACATTCCAATTTACTCATCAAGAGTTTGGATAACGATAATATTCATGCATTAATTTCAGATTTTGGATATGGAGTTTTTGGAACGAAAGTAAATCCAATCTTTTCATCTCCAGAAATAGTGTCTGTATACAAACACTACTTTAATGCAGATATCTTTAGTTTGGGAGTAGTTATGTATCAGATCATGACCAAAGACATAACCACGTCAATCTCCGAATTGTATGGACATAGAGATGAGAAAGAAGTTGTGCAAATGCTGAGAAAGACATTGGTGGAAAGATATTCGAACGAAATTATCGATTTAGTATTGAGCATGCTTGAAAAGGATAATTTAACAAGGCCTCAAGCTCAGGATGTTCTTTCGCATTCTTTACTTGCAGAATTTAAAAAAAAGAAGTAATAAATTAAGGTTGACTCTAGATATCTTATTGTTGAAAACAAAACCACATTTAACTTTAATCAATTTTGCAAATATATTTATTTAATCAACATCAACATCTTCAAACTTTGGCTTTGATTCAGAATCACTGGAAGTATTACCTGATGAGGTAAAGTTTGCACCATTTGGTGTGAATTCTGGTTGACCAGCTCCCTGTTGATACAGCTTGCTAACAATTGGTGCACATTTACCTTCCAATTCCTTTCTTTTCTTTTCAATATCATCCTTTGAATAGGTAGAATTGTTATCTAACCAATTAATAACTTCCTCACACGTCTTCTTAATGGTATTCTTATCAGCATCTGATAATTTACCAGACAAGTTTGGATCATCAGCAGTGGATTTCGTTTGATAGGCGTAGGCCTCTAATTGATTCTTGGCATCAATCTTTTCTTTCAATTCCTTATCAAATTGTTCCATTTCCTTGGCCTTCTTGACCATTTCTTCAATTTCTTCCTTACTCAAACGTCCTTGTTCATTCTTGATGGTAATGTTTTGTGTCTTACCAGATGAAGTATCCTTGGCAGAGACTTTCATAATACCATTTGAATCAATTTCAAATGTGACTTCAATCTTTGGAACACCTCTTGGTGCTGGTGGAATACCTTCCAAGTTAAATCTTCCCAACAAGTGATTATCCTTTGTCAAGGTTCTTTCACCTTCAAAGACTTGAATAGTGACTGCTGTTTGATTATCAGCATAGGTTGAGAAGATTTCAGATTTCTTACATGGAATGGTTGAATTTCTTTCAATCAATTTGGTCATGACACCACCAGCTGTTTCAATACCCAATGAAAGTGGAGTAACATCGATCAGCAAGACTTTGGTTTCCTTACCAGTTAAAACACCACCTTGAACTGCAGCACCATAAGCTACAGCTTCATCTGGATTAATTGATCTGCACAATTCTTTACCGTTGAAAAATTCTCTGAGCATTTCTTGAACTTTTGGAATACGAGTTGAACCACCAACCAAAACAACATCATCAATTTGTGCCTTATCCAATCCTGAATCTTGTAAAACCTTCTTGACTGGTTCGAAACACTTCTTAAACAAGTCCATATTCAATTGTTCAAATTTAGCACGAGTCATTGAAATATCCAAATCAATTCCGTCCATAATTGAATCAACATTAATTGAAGCATTGGCAGCTGATGATAAATTTCTCTTGGCTCTTTCACAGGCAGTTCTCAATCTTCTTAATGCTCTTGGATTTTCTTGAATATCCTTCTTGTACTTTCTCTTGAATTCTTGACAGCAGAATTGAACCATCAAGTTATCAAAATCTTCACCACCCAAGTGAGTATCACCAGCAGTGGCTTTCACTTCAAAAACACCATCCTCAATATTCAAAATTGAAACATCAAAAGTACCACCACCCAAATCGAAAATCAAAACATTTCTCTCACCCTTCTTATTCAAACCATAAGCAATGGCAGCAGCTGTTGGTTCATTGATAATTCTCAAAACTTCCAAACCAGCAATTGCACCAGCATCCTTGGTTGCTTGTCTTTGTGAATCGTTGAAATAGGCAGGAACTGTAATGACTGCCTTCTTGACTTGTTTACCCAAATATTGTTCTGAAATATCCTTCATTTTGGTCAAGACCATGGATGAGATTTGTTCTGGTGTGAAAACATGTGATTCTCCCTTGTATTCAACTTGAATGTATGGTTTCTCATCACTCTTTGTAATGACCTTGAATGGCCAATGTTTCATATCATCTTGAACTGTTGAGTCGGAAAACTTTCTACCAATTAAACGTTTAGCATCAAATACTGTATTGTGTGGATTCATTGCAACTTGATTCTTGGCAGCATCACCAATTAAACGTTCTTCATCAGTGAATGCAACATAGGAAGGTGTTGTTCTATTACCTTGATCATTCGGAATAATTTCTACATTATCTCCCATATAAACACCAACACATGAATAAGTTGTTCCCAAATCAATACCAATAGCTCCATCAAATACTTCAGCAGATGACATCTTGTTGTTATTACTATTTACTCGATTATAATTATGTACAATATATTGCTAAGAATGTTTAAATCCTTTTTTTTTCTTATTGCTATTTCAGGATGAGAAGATTGTTCCATCATTTAAATACTATTCTCCAAACACATATCCCGAAAATAACTTCCAAAGTTTGTTTGCTTCCGAATTATTTTTGGCTTAAAACCTCGGAAGTAATTTCAAGCCATTTTTTTCGGAATTTGTTCCGAAGCCTTCTTCCTTCATTTTGTTACTTGGGTTTTAATTTATTATTAAATAATAATATAAATTGTATTCTACAGTAAACTTGTACCAATGGATTAATAATATAATATATTATTGAAAATTCATGATTTAATAAATTAATAAAAATGACTCAATTTCAAACTTGGTATTTAATCGATCACTTTTGTGATATTCTGCAGATTAATTTCGCAGAGATTCTTAAACATGATGCATTCAAAGATCGTTGCTTGAAGAAAATTGATCTTGTTCAAATTCTATTCAAGGATTTTCAAAGCTATACAATCACTCATAAAGACTACAAAGGCTTTCCCACAACAACAGCCAGCAATAGGTCTTCTTCATCTGATGAGAATAAGGATTTACTTCTTCCGAGGTCGACTAGATTGCCAAAATCCCATGAAGTCATTGACAAAATGTTCAAACTCTATTTTACTAATAGGAAGAATCATATAAGAGATGCTTTGGAGAGGGAAATTAGACAGGGACCAGTTAAATTAGTTGATGAAAATTCCATTCGTTATATTGATTTGGATGAAGAGGAGAAGCAACAACCTTCAACAACAACAAAGAAACGTAAAGCTTCAGAGGCTTTAGAAACAACAACACCAAGTACTTCTACCAGCAGCAGTGTTGCCACTAGAAGAACTGTTCAAAGCACTAATAATACTTCCACTACAACAACTACTTCCAATAGAAATACGACCACCATAAAGGATAGTGAGGAAAAAGCAGCCAAGCAAAGAAAGACCAATGAGGATGAAACAATCTTTTCAAAGAGTACAGTACTAACATTGAAGAGAGGAATGAAACAATCTATCACAGATGATAATGCAAAATGTACTGTGGAAAATTCTCGTGCCATGTCTAGAAAAATTGATTCAATACTGACTCAGCAGACGGAAATTTATGAAAAGAAAATGGAAGTCTATGAGGAATACAAGAAGAAGGTGGCAAAGAAACTCAAAGAAAAATTGAATTACATTGAGGAAAATTATAACACTTATTTGAATCAAGTTAAACAGTGTAAGGATGATATGGAGCAATTTATCAAAAAGAAATCAAGGGAAGTTGCAAGGAAAAATGCTCGGATTGATGCAGAACTCAAAGCACTATTGAATGAAGATTGAGCCTCAAATATGATTAACTCTTCTAGAAGATGTCTATTGATCAAAAGATTTTATCACACTATTCTTTGTTTGGCATGGTTTATGATTGAGGAATGGATAAGTTGTACCTTCAAAATCTTCAATAAGGAAATTAAAACCTAATGTCTGTATGAGTTGTGTCTTATGGAAGTATTCTGGAAACAATCAAATTTGACAGGTGTCGCCAACCATTAGAGGATTTATTTACAATCTGATTGAAAAAAAATGGCCACATTCCAATACACTATCCGAAACTTGTTCGACTCACTCCAGTTTAATGATGCACAAACAACAAAAGCCATCCTGGACCAGCTATCACAAAATTCTTCTTCTGATGACAACACGTTTAACATCAATAATATTTGTGATGATGAAAGGTTTGCTTCACCTCTCCATTGGGCTTGTTATTATGGTAATATTGACACTATCCGATTATTGCTATCCTATGGAGCTTCTTTGAAAACTTATGTAAAAAACAGAAATGTCTCATCAAACAATGAACAGGACATTGATTCCGAGTATCAAACACCATTAATGTGGTGTGTACAGGGTGGAAGTTTGCCATGTCTCCAATTTTTAATTCAACACTACATGCACTCACAACATGAAATGGATGAATCGAATATGGTTCGAACTTTGTTTAAAGAACATGTTCAAAAAAGAACTGGTTATAATTTATTAATGTTAGCTATTCAGGATGATCACATTTCAATTGTTCAATATTTAATGTATCACTTGTATTCGAATGAGAATGGAAATGTAGAGTTAACCACAGAGAGTATTCAAGATATGTATACAAAATATTTAGATAACGAATCTCATACTATATTACATTGGGCTTGTTATGAAGGATATGAGCACCAAGTCAAGTTTATTATTCAGTTTTTTAAATACCACTCAAAAGAAAGAATTGAAATGTTGGATTTTTATCAACATTTGTACAATTTTATTGTTGCTAAGGATACTTTTAACAGAACTGCGTTTCATTGGATTGCTAGGAAAGGCTATTTGAATATTATGAGATATCTATTAATGGAATTTTTAATTGCAGAAAAAATTTTGGGATTAACTAGTCTGAAAGAGGTCATATCTGAAAGAGATACTGTTGGAAATTCTGTATTGGACTATGTTGGTTATAGTGATTTTCTTCAAGGAATTTTGAATCCTCTATTGGAGTTATACAAAAATAATGAGCATATTAATGATCATCTAATTAGCAAGTTGAAAGAACAGAGCTTGAGTGAAAGGGGATTTTCAAATGAGGAACTTCTCACTAAGAAATCTATTGAAATTCTAGAAAGTCAACCAGTTACTATTTCAGATATGATGAAGGTAAAGACCCTTCATTACAGATTCCTAATACCAATAGTGGTTTATCCTCTCTTTATGATAATGCTGAATATTATGCCTATTTATTTGGCGATTTTAATTATTCCACTAGTTTTCTATTTACATACCAAAACTAAAAATTATGTGATTAGGGTATCAGGATCGAAGCATCATGGTAACATTAGGGATTTGCTGTTCTTCGGCTTATTCCCATCATCAATTCTCTTTGGACTAATGGTACTATTTTACAATATCTTACCAATATACTACAGTTCACTATTTCTAATATTGTTCATACCAAGTGTTTCCGTTTGTGCCTATTTGTGGTACCAATTGACTGTTAATTGTGATCCTGGTTATTATAAGGATATTCAGAAAGAAAATTGCGTATCAGTTTCTTCTATTGATGAATCATTCTTTAAACATAGAGGTTGGGAAATTGAGGGAAACTATTCACACATATACAGCTCTGAATTACTTATTAGAAAACCAATTAGATCAAAGTTTGATAGAGTCACAGACCAAATTGTTATTAGATTTGATCACTACTGTGTCTACACTCTCAATCCCATTGGAGAAAAGAATCATGTGAAATTCTTAGCATTTGTATACTCAGTTGCCATTTCCAGTTTTCTTTTTGTCAATATTGCAGCTTGTTCACTTTACATACTTGTAAATGATTCTGATTCAAGCATGCTTTATGTTGTACTCATGGAAAATCCATGTATTACAATTGCTACAGCCTATTTCATAGTATTTTCACTCTTTGGGTCAATCCTTTCTATTCAACAAACAATAGCAGTCATGTTTAACAATACTGCATTTGAAATGATGAAGCCAGACAGACATTTCTACATTGTGAATAGTTCAAATTATTCAGAGTATATTTCCAAACACTATAATGGAATTGTTCATTATTTCATTGACATCATTAATCCCAGAACGAAATATTTAAATTTATTTGATAAGGGAATTGTGGAAAATTGCAAGGAATTTTTATTTACAAATAGACCATACTATGGTAGGATATTCAACTTGACAACTAATCCATTTGTGGAATCATTTTTGACAACTCATCATATTCGGGTACCATTCTCAATTAATCAACAAGTTGGGCAGCAAGCTTAATGCCTTTTTCTTGAAATAAAGATGTCTTATTGTTAATATTATGTTCACGAAAATGTATCAAGGTGAGTAACAACATGAAGGGAGATAGTTCAGTGGTAGAACATGGGATTGTGGTTCCTAAGATCAGGGTTCGATTCCCTGTCTTCCTACACCTTTTTACTTTTAAAATGATACAACATATCCAGCGCCTTTGAAATTCATGTAATTTATGAAAGTATGTCAAGATTAATTGTTTCATTTCTCCAATTCCTTCAATGCCAATCTCACTAAAATGAATATCAAGATATATCAATTCACTTACATCGATTAATAAAAATTCTGATCTAGGTTTTTTATATGACATTTCAACCATGGTTTATTCTTGTTGTTGTATTGTACAATTTTTCAATGCTAATAGTTTTCTCGAAGTTAGCAAATTAGTTATATGTTGATGGTCATTATTTCTGTTCATACTAAATAATCAGGAAGAACAATAGTATCAATTTCAACTAGAATCATATGTTGATAATTAATACACATTCTGATGAATATTTTACCATCTGGCATCCCATCTATCACTATATTCATGTCTGTGTGGCAATGATTCGGTTCCACTCAAGGTACATTCCTTGGTAGTTTTTGCCAAGACGGAACGAGTCATTGTTCTTCCGGCTCCATGATATTCAGCTTTCCAATACTTGTTAGAGTGGCTGTTAATTCCTCTTCTTGAATTTTTTGATCTTGCCATTGTTCTTGTTGTATTATTAAATTGTTTTTTCTTGTTGATTTGTGATGATGACGGCAAAAGTTTGATGTATTTAAAGCATTTTGTATTTTATTTTTAGAGTTTAAAAATAACTTGTTCACCCAATGTTCATCACAATTACAATGAAAATCCCTCTTTTTCAACCCGTTTAAAATAGAAAAACATATCATTCCACAAAATTGCTGACAATCAATCTTCATCACTACAAGGATGGAACAGATGTTTCTATTGGTCAACCAACACCTTTACATACAATTCGTCGCCCAACAAATCTTACTTGTTAAGGGATGTTTGGATATCTTTCGGATTCTTTGAAAGATATTAAAGAGGAAATATGAAAGTTTTTAGTGAGGAAGAATCTAATTTAAATAAGGTATCGAATACTGAAAAATTGAGAATACAATTCTAGATATAAGAATATTCAGAACTTTCACAAGCAATTTCAGACAGGTGTAATGTTCAATTCAATTTAATTAAATACCAAATTTGTTAAAACGCATTTAATGACATTCCAATCTAGAACAAACTGGTTTAGAACTGTAGGCAAGACTATTCAAACTATTCAAGTAATTCATCAATGAAAACATTAATACTTCAGAAGAAGCAGGTCTAGTATTGAGTAAATTACGAATATTTCTGGCATTTAGAAGAATGTGTAAGGTGGTTGAAGGTGAAGCCCAGTTGGTAACAATAAACCCAATAACTCTCTCAATTGGTTGACCATTTCCTTTTGGGTAGAATCCATAAGTTGATAACCATCCAGAAAGTAGATCAGTCTTCTTTTCTTCCATAGTCTGAGAAGCTGTTTTAAGTTCAACAATGGTTGGAGCAACACTAGCAATTACCTCATTCAACAATTTTTGGTTAGGTTCTTTATCAATAGAGATAGACAAGAATGAAACAATTTGCTCTCTAGTATTGGTGTTATACTTCCAACACATGTCATTCAAGAATGGAAGTAATTGTTCAGAACATGTACTACATGTAATGTTAGAACTGTTGGAAAGGGTAATTATGGTCTCTTTTATTTCACTCAAATCATTTGGATCAATCAAGGCAACAGCTGATTGAGCAAACAATAGGAATAATATCAAAGTAAACAATTGGTTTTGTTAAACATTTTTTTCAAATTTTGAAAAGACAAATAGCAGTCTTCTGTTTACGACATTGAAAATAGAGTGTTACCAATTGTTTTTGCGTTATTTCAAAGTGCTCTTCTTTATTGAAATATCTTTACTAAACCAACTTGCTAGTGTTGACAATGTTCCAAATCGGAGAAGAGAACAATCAAAAATCCAACTCCATGTGAAATGGATTGTTGGAGGGTCTTGTTGTTGATTTTCATACTGTAGTGAAATACCTTATTTATTTTTATATTTTGAGTTGTGATGTTATTATTTCATGTAACGATTGTTCTTCTTGAGGGTAATATGTATCCGTGTTATCCAGCCAACGCTGGATTGAAAGGATTTTGTCAGATGGGATCCACTGTAAGTGGATCCCATCAAGACAAAGCCAGGATAAAATGGATAATGGATGGATATTTCCGATTTTATTGGCTGCAAAATACAATTTAGTACACAGAAGAGCTGCTATTATTTCAGTTGGCAAACTAACACAGAAAGACTCATATCTACAAGCAACAGATCCAATTCATCACGTGAATCAAGTCAACATATTGGAATTGGTAGAATTGGTAGAATCGGAAGTTAATCACAAATTTATTCATCTAGTGATTGTATTAAGAGAGATCAAACAAAAATAACAATAAATCATATGATTATAATTCAAATTGGAAATAGTTGGAAAAAAAGCAAGATTTAATAGAAGAGTTTGAGTGAATGTGCAGTGTTATTTTCTTTGCAGAAATTATAAGAAATGCACAAGATGGTAAATTGCAAGATCTTGGCCATGAATTCCATTGGCTATAAGAAAGTTTTGAATCAGTTTAATGATGGTAATGATTGGTTACTCGCCCCCCTTTAATTTTATCCATTAAATCCAGATTTTTCCTTGATTTATCTGATTTATCCAGATAAAAATCCACTGGCAGTCGACGGAATCCACTCACATCTGACAAAATCCTTTCAATCCAGCGTTGGCTGGATAACACGGATACATATTACCCTCTTCTTCTTCTTCCAAATCCCAGGTCATAACAGTGTCATTATCACCAGTAGTATAGTGTGAAGTAAAAGCATCTAAGGTGTCATATAGTCCCTCACTGAATTTAGGTTTAGGGAAATTTAAAGCTCCAAATTCCTTTACAGAATTCATAAATACTGTATGGGCTGCCTTGTTTTTCGCATTAAAAAACTTTTTCCTTATAAAATCAGATTGCATTGATTGTAAGTCAATGTAGGAAACACAAATTACTTTGCAAGCATTTTCAATTGGTCCAAATGATTCAGTACTCATATCAGACAAGCTGTCATCAAATGCTACTGAGCTTTTTCTTGAAAAGGAGGAAGTAGATGATGCTGATGAGGTTGATTTTCTCAAATCTCCAGAACTCATACTATGGTTTGTGTGGGGTGGATCTTTGAGCTTATTTAGATGTGTTGTGGTGTAGCAATCTACAAAGAAGCTGGAAGAAAGTACTCTCGCTTTAACATGTGACTTCTTTTCAGGAAGAAGGACAGAGTTGGTTGACTTCATAATATTAGCAATACAGTTTCTCTTTGTATCTTTAACTACAGTACCAGCCACAACTGCTTGTCTAGGTTTCATTACCCAAGTTAAACCTGTCATTTGAATAACAATCTTGAGAATAGATTGTGCATACTTATTTGTTTTTGATATTGGAATGTAATCTAACTGATTAATACTCTCTGCATCTAGAATATCCTGTCTAACTTGAGTATGAGAAAACATATTAAAAGCTTGTTCCTTGGAACATGGTAAAATGAAAACTTGCTTTAACAGTTTACCATTTGCTTTTTCCTCATTTTCATCAATGTTGAATTCCTTTTTGGATTGATAACAAGCTCTTCTACCACTTGCTCCAACTTTAATTTCATCCCAAACTTCCTCATCATCATTAAAAGCCATGAATGAAAAGAATTGAATATCTCTATCACAAACCAATCCATCAAATTTTGGAATATACTCCATATATTTTGTGTTTTTCAGTACAGAAATTGATGTAATAAATGCTTCATCCTTTTGTTTAAGGAAATTGTTAAATTGAACAGATTTGGTAAACCTAGGATAAGTGTCATTCTTCAAATTATAGAAAATAGCACTTTGTGAATCATCAAAAATAGTTTCATCAACCAACATATTCTTTTCTGAAGTCAGTTGACCTGATTTTTCAAATCCTAACACGATATTCTGTCTATATTGTGATGATATATTAATTTCATGACTGCTGTTCGGCATGACATAAGTCTTTAGTATGAATAATGCCTTCTTTGTCTTATTCTCTTCAAATTTAAGTCGTTTAAAATCTTCAACTTCCTCATAAAACAAAAGAGGTTCTTCATTGTGTTCCCTCTTTAGATAGGCACGAAATTCTTCCTTGGCTTCGGGAACATCGAATATAGCCTCCAAAGGAAACTCATAAATCAAGTGGATATCCTCAAGTTTAGTCGAAGAATTGTTTCGTTTAAACTTGAACATTCTTTCGGTATTTTTTTTTGTTTGGTTGCCTCTCTAATATCTCATTTCACCTTGACATGTTAATCTCATGTAGTTTTTCAATAATATCACTGACGACCTTAACCTTTCCTTACCACACATGGCAATACAAGCCTTGGATTGGTTTACGTTCTTCGTATTGGAGGTCTGACAATCGAAATTTTATTTCCAAATCATGATGAAGGAATAAATTCCAAATTACTATTATATAGATGTTGAGCTGATGTGCTGAAATTCTTGGAGTTAATAGATGTGAAATTACACCAAGAATCAACAGAGGCGTGATGAACCACTTGCATTACAATAAGAATTAAAGATGATAAAAAATGACCAAATCTCTTCAGTCCACCATTTCTTCGCTTCTTTTCCATAATAACAACAATGGAACAAGTTTTGAATTTCAAGGTGAATACTATTTTCCCATAGCAGAAATTTACCGAAATCCAACAACATGGGTTTACAAGTGTAGAAAGATGAGCGATCAATCATTGATGGTTTTTAAAATTATTCATGATGATTCAGGTTTACTTGAGACTGGAGAAACCAGAAGCGAGTATTTGCAAAAGTATAAACACACAAATCATGCCAATGTTTTATCGATGAAAACTTTTAATAATTATAATGATGATGATGAAGCCTCTATAACCTTACGAGAATATGTTATTATATCTAAATTTAGAGGAAATAATTTGCGTGATGTGAGAAAAAACTTGGAAAGAGTTTCAATTTTAATGGTATTACAAATCATTGTGCAGTGTTGTGGAGCTTTGCAATCCCTATCACTGAATCATATCATTCACAGAGATGTTAAACCGGAAAATATTTTTATGAGTGAGGAGGGAATGATAGTGTTGGGAGATTTAGGATGTGCCACAATGGCAGAAAATAATTTAGATGATATGTTATTGTTAAATGAGGAAAATAATGAGCAATTGGTTGATGATTGTACTAGCTCCTGTTACTCTTCTGCTACAGGTTTTGCTGGTACAATTGGGTTTATTGCTCCAGAAATCCTTAATGGAAAATGTTCCTGCAAATGTGATATTTTTAGTCTGGGTATTACTATTCTATCATTTCTATTTCTAGATCGATTTCACTTACAATTAAAATATCAACAAGAAGAATTGTGGAATGATATCGAAACATTATTCCAAAATATTATTACTAATACTACTACCACTATTAGCGAATTTGAGAATGATCCTTCTTCATGGATTGTAATTAAGGACTTATGTAAAGGAATGACATGTATTCACGAAGACAATAGATATTCTATTGAAAATATATTTCAGGTGATGTTTGATAATTTGAATGGCAAAGTTACTAGCTTGGTTGATTGTTTTCAAAATTTAAAACACCCATTTAAAAATAGTAAGAGTGTTGTTTCGTATGTATGTGAAAAGAATGGCCTCAATCTTCAATTTGTATCACCAGAGGACTTTTTGATAGAGAAAGAACTTGTTTTAGGGTGTGTAAAACAAAATGGCATGTCTCTTGAATATGCACTCTCTTTTAGAAATGATTTTGAAATTGTAATGGAGGCTATTACTCAAAATTCAAACGCTATTATGTATGCCTCTACTAAACTTTTGAATGATCAGCAAATCATTTATCAAGTTGCATTGATGAGTGAACCTCAGGATGCAATTAAAAATCTATCACTGACCTCTGAAGAATTGAAGAATAATAGAGAATTCATGTTAAAAATAATGGAATTAAAAGGACAAGCACTATGTTGCATTCCTCATTTCAACAATGATAAGGAAATGGTCTTGAAAGCAGTGAAGAATTATGGTAATGCTCTATATTATTCATGTGAAAATTTGAGAAATGATAAGGATGTAATAATAGAGGCAATGAATACCGATGGTGGATCATTTAGTTATGCATCTGAGGAATTGAAGAAAGATCGTCATATTGTTACAGAAGCTATTAAAAGAGACGGTAACAATCTTGGGTATGCATGTAAGGCTTTAAGGAATGATTTAGAAATAGTTAGCTTGGCCATTAGAAAAAATGGAAATTCTCTTAAATTTTGTGGAACATCTTTTAAAGGAAACAAGATTATTGCTATGGAAGCAGTTAAAAATAATCCAATAGCTTTACAACACTGCACAGAAGAACTAAGGGACGATAGGGATATTGTTCTAGCTGCAGTTCAACTGGATGGAATTGTTCTTGAATATGCATCGGATAGATTGAGAAATGACAAAGAGGTTGTTATGAAGGCAGTTCAAAACAATGGCTCTTCCTTTAGATTTGCATCTGAAGAACTGAAACAAGATGGCGACATTCTCATTTTCAAAAAACCATTTACTTATATTTTACCATTTGTATTTTCCTCTCAACCACTATCAATAATAGATAATAGAGAATTAGCATTACAAAAAGTACAACAAAATGGATTAAACCTCGAGTATGTCTCAGAGGAACTGAAAAATGATAGGCAAGTAGTACTAGCAGCCATCTCTAAAAATGGAAATGCTCTCAAGTTTGCCTCAGAGGAATTGAGAAACGATAAGCAGATTGTAACTGCTGCGGTATTGGAAATACCATATACTCTCAAATTTGCTTCAAACGAGCTGAAAAACAATAGAGAATTCACAACAGAACTAGAAAAAGAAATGCAAAAACTGATTCCAAAATACATTTCACTAAAAGAAGAGAGTGCAATAGATATCATATTGTAATTTAAGTTTTTAATAATAAGAAGGAAACTAATGTATTATTTAGAAAGCAAAAAACCTTAAAAAAATTGACGAGTTCATAGTGAACCTGACGTTTTAGATCATCTACACAACAATGAAATGTTCATCACATAAGTACAATATATTTAGAAAATGCCTCCACCACCTCCACCTACTTCATTCATTGCTGTTAAAGCTCCTACAACCAAAATACTTTCATCATCTACAACATCTAATTCCGATGAATTGATGAAGAAACTCTCATCCCGAAGAGAACAAGAAGCGATCAAGGCTCCAAAAAAGATTGAATGGGAAATTGTTCATCCACAACCTACCTCTGAAGGAAAAAAGGTATTAAAATTTGTAATTATAAGTGATACACACAACAAACATGATATGCTGCAATTACCAGAGGGTGATGTATTTATTCATTGTGGTGATATGACTGATGAGGGAAAATTGGAGGATATTGAAAAGTTTAATCAATGGGTTGGAACACTTCCTTACAAACACAAGATTGTTATTTGTGGTATGTTTGTTTAATATTTGTTTAATAATTTGATTTAAATATTTTGTAACATTATTGAAATGATTGTAATTAGGTAATCATGAAGTGGATATTTCTAAACTTGGAAAGGAAAAGATTCAAGAATTATTTTCTAATGCTATTTATCTTGAAAATAGCAGTGTTGTAATTGAAGGTGTTAAAATTTATGGAACTCCATATATTCCAAATATGTCAGATTTACCTGGAGAAAAGAAGGAATACATGTGTCAATTCGACAATGATTATTTTTATAGAAGTGAGGAAAAGCTTGCAGAGATTTTTGCTACTATTGATCCAGATACAAATATTCTAGTGACCCATACACCACCAAAGGGTCATTTAGATGGAATTTTGAAATATGGAAGTCCTTCATTGATGACCAGAATGAATGAATTGAAAGATTTAAAGGTAAATTGTTTTGGTCATGTCCACATGGGTTATGGATATGAAAAGATACAAAATGGTGTTACTGTAATTAATGCTGCAAGTGATGGAGATGAACATCCAATTCATTTTGATTACAATGTTTAATCTAACTGAATAAAGGACCAATTTACCTCTGAGTGCGTTTAAGTTGAAACTCACCATCCAATTTGGTTTTGAATGTGGTTTGTGAAACTATTGAATTAATGATTGAACCCAATTTTCTACCAGTCCCATTTTTGGATAAGTTTTTGCAGTAGAAATTTCTGTCAGGAGCTCAATATCCTCTTTCGTAAAGAATGAACTGAACAAATCATTCCCCAATATAATAACCTCCATGTTTTTGTAAACATTTATGGTCTTCTCAATAAATTTGAGTCCTTTGGCCCATACACCTGTTGGAGGTGTGGTTAGCTTTGAGCAACTTAAGCCGGAACCAAATGACCACTTCCCTTCTGTCAACTTTAAGTACCCTAAATCTTTACAAGACTGAACTAGTTCAGCAGTCAACTGTCTGGCAAAAACAAAAAGTGTAATGTTTTTTTCAAGCAAACTGGCCTTATCTATTTCGTCTTGAAGCATTTTTAGACTAAATATTGATGAAAACATGTTGGTTTTACATGCAATACCAATTATACTATTGCCTTCAGGAACAGATATCAAAAAACCTGGGCTTTTGGATTTAGGAGCTGGGGGTCCTAAAACAGAGGTGGTCATAAACAATTCATGTTCCCTTTCAACCTTTTTGTCTGTTAGAAACTGTGAATGAGAGAATATTGAGTGGATGTTTTGCCATCTCGTTGCGTTTGAAAATTTGATGGTTACCAAAACTCTAGTTAGTATTGTGTCATGAAATAGTTGTTCAAGCAAGTCGACCTTGTCTATGTATCTGTAGTAATTGGAAGGAAGAGAAGCTAGGACAGATAAATGTTGCAAGCTTTCTTGCTTGGCTGCCTTAATCAATGTAAACCTTGGAATGAACATTTTGATCATGACTGTTGGTTTTCCATCAATATTGATAGTTGGTGTTTCCACGGCTACGTTAAGATCATGGATAAGGTCTATTTCAGTCAAAAACTCCTCTGTTACAGGAATTGGAAATCTCAACACTCCCATTGTTAATATTGAACGAAAGCGAGATAAATTGTCCTTAGTAGAAGTACATTCATTAAATGGGAAAATTTCTTTTGCTGTTTTCACAAGTGAAAGCTCTGGACCTGCTTCAAAGTTATTGAAAACATCGTCAATCTTTCCTCTCGTGCTGAAATCTAATGGTCCATTGCTTTTAACATGTCGCGTTAAAGATGAGAGAACGTACAGCACCAATCTTGGAACACCCATAGTAAACCAAAAAACTGTTTTGCAAAAGTATTCATAGTTGTTTCCAATATTACAAAAAATAGAAGTAAATTGCCTAACATTAAGTTTTCCATCCTTAGATATAATTACTTTCTCGAAAATCTCCATAATATGCTCTTCTTTTAACATTTCTAACGTGATATGAATTGCGTTTGTGGGAGAAATCAGTTTAGTTTCGTTTCTTAACAATCCTCTTCCCAGTTTCGTAAGAGTTGAAGATGTCCCACAAGCCACAAAGTAAATTCCTGGAGAAGATGATCCCATTGTAGGTTTGATTACTTTTTCCCAAAGATAAACAAAGGACACATGGCCATCCTTATAATGGTACTCTAGATATGAAGCTTCGTCTATTAGAATTAATATTGGGTAAAGTCTATTACGAGAATAAAATTGAAGAAACTGCATCCAATCAGAGCAAAAGCTCAATTCTGTAATAATATCTTTTTCTTCAAACGAAAGATCAGAAACATGATTGTATGTACACGCACCCACATACCGTAAAACATTCATCGTTTTAGAAACAAGAGGATCCTTTGAAATTGCTGCATGTTCTTCTATAGATGTCTTTAGCCTTAATAAAAAGAGACGACTTATACCACCCAATGGAAATTGCAAGTCCTTTTCTATAGAATTTGTTAATGTTGCCCTATTTAAAGGCATATCCACAAGAACTGCTTGCATAATATTATTTGCTACTGCTGATGAAGTTTCAGACTCGCAGCAGGTAAATTGCTCAAGATCATTCCTCTCCTTTAAAGCTTGTCGAAACTCTCTTAAAAGACGAGTTTTCCCACTACCATAATGCTGGCTCAAAATAGGGAGCAGTCCATGGTTCGCTGAGCTTTTTTGTTCTATTAAGCTGTCCATCAGGTTTCTGCAGGCTATTTCCCTGTTGACTAAGGGAATATCAAAAAACTGAAGTATATCAGATGGAAGATATTTCTTTGTTTCGGATTTTGTATGAACCTTTTTCTTGGGACTCCTTACAGGATAGGCACCAACAGAATCTATTTTTCTTTTCAACTTTGATTCCAGTTCAGTTTTCTGTTGTGGTTCAAGCGTTACTGAAGGAAAGAAGTTGCCCATTTTTCTTTTCGAAATATTTTTTAAAATTAATTACTGAATAACATTGTAAAATAACAAGATCAAATTCAATATTGAACTTGTTCAAACAGATTAGTTGTCCAATTAAATTGAAAAAATGACTAAACTGCAGCACAAGGCAATGCTGTCGGAATTTTCTTCGAATTTCAATTTAGTTTTTGGATTAATTAATAGCAATTCAACACAAAAACATAAAAATCTTGTAGCATTGGAATTTACAATTAGTACGAAAGATAAAATTAAAGTGAAACTTGATTCTGTGAACGGAGGAAAAACTGAGAAACGATACAAACTTCAAATTTCCTATCCATCCAACCTGATTGGACACTTTAAATTATCAATCAGCAAGTATTGTTTAGAAAAGAAACAGTTGACTCTTTTTATTGAAGATTTTAAATTGGAAGAAAGTGCTTTACTGTTTATTGGAAAGGTCGAAGGCAAAGTTTACATGATGTTAGTCAACCAACAATGGAATGGACTTTCGATTGCAAAACTAAACAACAAATTATTTAATCCCTTCTCAGAACAACTTTACAAGAATATTCTAGATCAGAATAGTGATGGAGGAATGATGTATAATCCAAATGTATATCTAGTAGATGAACCCTCACTCCATTTCAGAACAATATGTGACACAGCAATGGGAATGTTTCTTCCCTATGAAAAAACATCTTCTGTTGGATCAGTGCAGAAAAAATGTCAATGTTATTGCCAAAAATATTATAATGTTAAGGGGTTCAATTTCTCAATTTCTATTAAGGACCCGAATATGTTTAATGCTATAAATATGGGAATGGAAGGGGCATACCCTGAGAGAAATAAGGGTTATTGTTTTAAGAATGGTGTGTATTGGTATAGAACATATGATTACATTATTGAAAATTTAGAGTTTGAGGAATGTGTGGAAATTCAGATGAGACATATGAGACCTAATTATTATTTCCAAAAGGGACATTTTTATGATGTTGTCTATGTGAGAGGAAAGGTGAGGAAAGCTAGAGATGATGGTGAATTCAAGACATGTTTTACTTTGACATCATGGAAGAGATTGTGTATTGTCAAAGTAGAAAAGAGTGGTTGGGTTTCTAAATATTCCATTATCAAATAAACGAACATATTGCTGTATTGTTTAAGGAACTGCTTTAATCCTTAACGAATCATACACCAACTTATTTGTATTAATGAAATCAGCAGATATTGAAATAATGTAGAATAGCATGGTATTAGATAGTGTTTATTAAGGAATTTAGATTTCACTCGTGGTTTGTTGGGTGGGTGACAAAATGTGATTGATTCACATGATTTCAATCACGTTTTGACAGCCACCCTAATGAAATGCTCAAATGTCGTCGATTTATGGTCTGGAAGAATTTTAGTAAATATCGTACTGTTGAAGAGATTTACATGTTTTTAAATTTTGATAAATATTCTTCTCTTGGTTCGAAAGTGCTTTTCAAATTACAAGCCATATCGAGAAATGAAACGGCCAAATCAAAATAATTGAACACATTGGCAACGTACTGTCTTGGTTGAAACTGATTGGTTTCGACCTTTTTTAAGAAATCAGGAAAAGTAGTAGGCATCTCACTAAATTTTGAGATTACTCCTGTTTTTCCTTCAGAGAAATATGGAACAGAAGTTGGTGAATCAGCCTCTCTGTAAGAATTTCCCTTGTCCCATAAAATAAAGAGAGGAATGTTCATGGACATCATTTCTTCGAGAGCAATGCCCTGAGTTTCTGTTGATACGCACACAACAGCAAATCTAGCCTTTTCTCTCAATAATTTCCAATATTGTGGCTCAGTATATCCACCATAACCAAAAAAATGGAGAGTACTATTGGAAAAGTATGCATTATTCTTCAATAATGATTCAGTTAGACTCTTAACAGTCTCTGGAGCTCCCTGTCCACAATTCTTGATATATAATACACCATCCATACTTGGAGGTTCTTGTTTTGGTTTTGGTGACCAAATTTTTGTGTTAATTGGTGTTGGATAAACCAATAATTTCATAGATTTTGGTAGAGCAGGACCATAGTCATGATATTTTACCCAATGTGAAGCTGTTAAAACTCTAACTTTATCTCCCAATCTACTGTAATGATGTGCATGTATATCAGGTGCTATGGTAGGTCCAACAAAATATACGAAATTGTCTTTTAGCTTTTCTCTTAAAAGTCTATCAACAACTTTTGTATGTTGAATTGGATGATAGGAATACATAGCATCTGCACTCAATACATCAGGACTATCAATATCCTCAGTAGAAATAAATTCCTTTCCAATAAGTTTCAATGCAGACATTAAAGTAATTCCTACTTTTCTAGGTCCACCAGAATGGAAATGAAATGTATCATGAAGCATTACAATCTTTTTTTTCCAACACTCCTCTCCAACTATATGTTTTGCAAGAGTTTGTAATGTTGTGGAATAGTCATTATCATAGATGGCATGAACATTCTTTTCTCTCAACATGTAAATTTCAGTGTGTGGAAGTACAAAATTACGATAAATTGGATAATTTTCAAGGAAATAATCTGCAGGTACCACAACTGAATCAAATGGTGAATAGGTTATTTGATGTTTATGCATAGAACTATCCCAAACTCTATCCTTTTCAAAATATCTTCTAATCCTTCTTCTATACGTATCCATTTTACTAAAATCAATTGGACGATCCAGAGAAATAGATAATGCTCTATTCACCTGATCATCCACATTAATCATTGATTTATACAACTCTTTCAAATCATGTTTCATAATTTCGGAAAATCCTGGACGTTGATGAGAATAATCACTCTCCGTAAATATCCTCGAAGAATAATTTAAAAACATTTGATGATGATAGGGTGAACTAAACTCGGGACGATTCTTCTCTGAAGGACTTGCTGCTCTAGACTCTTCAACATTGCTCTTCTTTACTACTAGGAGATAGATGGCTGACTGTAAAAGAGCAACTATTACGAGTGCGAATAAAGCTTTAAACACTGTTTTATAACTCATATGTGTGGTGGTTCTTCAAGTCAAATTTTTATATTTTTTTAAAGTTTTTCAAATTTAATGGTTAAATGTTGTTGTTGTCAGTTATCATTGATGATGACAGCCACCACGTATTTTCTAATGTTTTTTAACGAAAAATCTACCAGTTTGTATCCAATTCCTTACCTGTTGAATTGCCTTTTTTAGAAGATACAATTTCTATTTATTCAATATAACTTTGTAAATCATCCAATATTGCATGTCTGCTGTTTCTTCTTCTATCAACATTGAAAGTATCAATTGTTATTCAATTTACTTGGTTAGAATTGGATTTATTTCTTCTTTGAAAAGATTTCATCAATGTTTTGATTCTTATTTTCAGGTTTCTTTTCAACAACCTTCTTTTCAACCTTCTTTTGAACAACCTTCTTCTTCTTAATAGTGACAGATTTCTTGTCACAAGTGGCCAAATATTTGAGCATTTCTACAGTTTCCTTAGTGAGCTTCTTATTCTTTGGTTTAGTTGGTTTTTTACATTTCTTTGGTTTGACTGGCTTTGGACATTTCTTTGGTTTAGTTGGTTTCTTACATTTCTTTTCAGGCTTTTTTTCAGGCTTCTTTTCAACCTTCTTTGATTTCTTCCATTTGAAAATAATCTTTACCATCTTTTTAACAGATTTTGGAAGTTTTGGCTTGGTATTATTTCTACATTTTGGAACTGAACGATTCTTCTTCAAATGAGAGAATAAAATCAACAAATCAGCTCCCAAATGTTTCTTTGGATGGAATCTCTTTCCTTGTTGATATTTAATTCTGAAAATTGATCTAATTTGACGAGCCAAACTCTTACTTTCCCTCTTTGAACATTTAGAACGTTTAACTTTTTGATGAATTTCAACAATGACAGATTTCTTAACCTTCTTAACTTTTCTCTTTTGATGAATTTCAACAATGACTGTCTTTTTAGTTGGTTTCTTCTTCTTTTGTCTCTTTTCTTGATGAACTTCAATAACAACAGTCTTTTTTTCAACCTTCTTTTTCTTTGAACAACACTTTGGGAATTTAAATGGTGGAATTTTAATAGTAATTGGTTGTGGTTGATATTGAACTTGAGGTTGAGGAGCTTGAATAATAATTGGTTGTTGTTGTTGTTGAGTTGATGTTCCAGCAGCAGCAGAAGCAGCGGAAGATGATGAAGCACTTAAACCACCCAAACCACTAATTCCATTCAAATTTAAATCCAGTGAAATTTTGTTGTCTTTCCCATTTAATTTGAGAGCATTTGTGAAGGTTGCCAAGAAGCAACAAATCAAAATGCTTCCAAGCAAGAGGAAGGATAATGATGAACTCTTATGCATAATTTTTTATGATGAAGCACGTTCAGTGATCTGTGAAGTAGTCACAAGGGCAAACCGAAAATTTTTATTGGTGATGCCAGTTCAAAACAGTGACAGTTGATAGGTGACTTGGCTTCCATACAACAACCATTGAGGATAATTCAGCACTGTTCAACCAACCCTTAAAAGTGTTCAACAGTAGTAGTGGAAGTAATTTAAGGATTAGAAACGCACACAGCACAATAAATTTCACACATAATACACGTGTGTAGAAGACACGTAGCAAAATGTCTTCCATTCGGGGAATAAATGTTTCCAATTCCTTAAATAAATACTGTCCGTTTCCTTATAAAAAAAAACACAATGGTCCAATCAATACCTTACCACCATTAAAAAAAATTAAACCAATATCATCATGAGTAAGACATCGTCTAATGAAAATTCATCAACACCATCATCTACCTCATCCGAGCAACAACAAGTAGAGAAAGTAGCAACAGAAGAAACAATCAATACTACTACATCTTCTTCATCGTCATCATGGCTTAAATCCCTATTGAAATACGGTTCTTGGGTTGTTGTTGGAACAGGATGGGCAGCAGTAATGGGATTGTCCATATTTCATAGATTTAAACCTGTTAATCCAGATCCATCCATTGACCCAAGAGCATTGGAATATGTCGGATCAACTTATACTTTAAAACAAGGATATCCTGCATTGGCTTTACATGCTAGTTGTGGAATGGTTTGTTTGGGATTGGGTATTTTCCAATTTCAAGAATCATTCAGGGCTAGACATATGAAATTACACAAATGGATGGGTTATATTTTCAATTCAAGTATTGTTCTAGGTGCAATTGGATCAATAGGTTTGATTCCATACAGTGCTGGTGGATTGGCAACTAAGAGTGCATTCACATTATTGACATCTATTTGGGTTGGTACAATGGGAATGGCAATGGCCTATGTTTTACCAAAATGGATAAATCCATTCAAATCTCTAATTAACAAGGAGAAGGAATATAGAATTCAAAAGCACAGAGAATGGATGATTAGATGTTATGCTACTGTGATGAGTTCAATCTCATTGAGAGTCTATTTGGCTCTCTTTACAGTTTACAATATTTTCCAACAAAAGGAAGGAATCAATGTTGATGCTGCTGTTAAGGATTCTTATACAAGTTCAGTTTGGTTGTCATTCGTTACTAATTTGATACTTTCTGAAATTTACATTAATTGTGTCTATAGAAAATAATTATTGTAATAAACATTTCTCATTATAATTTTTCTTATTTCGTTCTTTCCCATGAATCTTATTTTTCTTAATTTGCTTGAATACATTAATATCTAAATTGATTACCTCTTGAAATAAATGTACATGTGGAAAAGGGAAATGAATAAACATTCTAATAATCAATTCAAATACCTTTGAAACATTAATATTTGATTTGGCACTTGTTTCAATAATATCATAATTCATAAATTTAAATCGTTCAATAAACGAATTGAAATAATTTTTCCATTCATCAAATGTTGACTCTCTTTCCTCTTGTTGTAAGTCTGATTTGTTGACAACAAACACAATAGGAAAATAAAATCCATCATGATCTAAACCCTTAATTAATGTTATTTGATCCAAAAGTTCCTCATAATATGTTGCACATTTAGTTGGAGTAGTGTCCAAACTTGCAGTAATTACAAAACAATCATGTGTTCTAATAAAACCATCTCTCATTGCAATATATGTATCTAATCCAGCTAAGATAGTGTGTTCTAATTAATTGATAATAATAATATTCCTACTTACCTGTATCCAAAACAACCAAGGAATGTACAAATCCATCCACTTTCACCTGCTTTCTATAAGTATCTTCCAGTGTTGGATCTGTAACCTGTGGGAATTTACCATAAACAAATTGCTCTATTAAAGAAGATTTACCATTACCAACAGGACCAATAATACAAACTCTACAGTCATCAACAATTTCTTCTTTGTACAATGTAGGATAATTAATAAATCGCCTTGCCAACTTTCTCAACACTAGTGCCTTTCTCTTCAGATCATTCTCCTCTTGCTCATCAAGTAATTTAATAAATTGATTATTCATTCCGAATTCATCTAATAAAAGGCTTTTCCAAAATGTATTACTCTTATTTTCAATTCTTCTAGAAAGATCCTTGTTGATAGATTGGAGAGTGGCCATTTGTGGAGTAGAGGCTGATGATGATTAGGCTTTGCACAATACTCTAGTATGTTGAATATGATTTCATCAGGTAATTCTATTAATTCCATTTTTTAATTTGATGGGTTGGTGAACATTGATGATACCACACGGTGAGTTAGTTGTGAGTTGTTGAAGAGGTAAAGATGATACGAAGTGTTTTATACCATGATGGTTTTTTTAATATTTTTTTATTCAAATTTATGTAACGGTAACTTTTTTGGGTTTATTTTCTCTTGTTGTGTTTTTCAACCATTTGATAGAAGAGGGAGGAGGAATCTGCCAATAATTCAGATGGACTTCCAATTTCTCTCACTAATCCATCATCTATTACAACAATCTTATCATAATCTAATATTGTTTCCAATCTGTGAGCTACACAAATCACTGTGCAATTTGATGAGAACTCTTCTCTCAATGTTTTCTGAATGAGTTTATCAGTTTCCAAATCACACAGTGCAGTAGCCTCATCCAATATCAAAATTTTGCTCTTTCTTATCAGAGCTCTAGCAAGACACAATAATTGTCTCGTACCTGCTGAAATGTTTTCACCATTTTCTGATATTTCAGTTTCTAGACCAGTTGGCTTGATGGTTATTACTTCTTTTTCTGATTTTTCTTCATCTTCATCATCTAATGATTGTAATTGATCCAATTTATCTTTCATTCCAACTTTTTCTAAAGCATCCCATAATTCTCTATCTGTATATTGTGAATAACTGTCAAGATTCTCACGAAGAGTTCCTTTAAATAGAGTTGGTTGTTGTGGAATGATACACATGGTACTTCTCAGTGTTTCAAGTGGTACATTTCTAATATCAATACCATCAATGAGAATGGTGGATTCTTGTTCAATTTCTTGCATTCTCATTAGTGATTGAATTAAACTGGATTTTCCTGAGCCTGTTCTTCCACAAATGCTCACTCTTTCTTTTGCATTGATTTTTAAATTAATTCCTTTGAGGACTAATTTGTTTTGTTCAGCTGGTTCAGTTTCGAATGTATGTTTCTTATATCTCATACAAACATTTTTCATTTCAATTTGACCTCCATTTCCAAATTCTTTCATGTCAACTTGAACATTAGGTTCATATTTTTCACTTTCTAATTCAGAATATTGTTCAATTCTCTCAACTGAAACAATATACTTTTCAATCATTACAAAAAGGTATGAAATATAATAGAGTGAATCAAAACTCAATGTTGCTTGAAGAATAATCACACCAACCAATGATCCACTAAAACTCAACACACTAGAAATAATGATGAGTGATACACACAGAGCAAATACAACCTCATTTCTCATATTAAAGTAAGCGCTCAAACAATGAGAATTATACGAAACTCTTGCTTGTGTTTCTGCCTTTTCAATAAAACTTTCAACAAGTAAATTTTGTTTTCCAAAGGCACGAATAGTTTGAAGACCATGAATAGTTTCAGATAGTTGTGAATTAACTGGTGAAGAATAAACCCCTGCCAATAGTTCAATTTCTCTCAGTGAAACTCTATAATAACTCTGCACGAAAAATATAACAGGTGACAGAATGACTACTGGAATAATTGAATAGGGTGACATGATCATTACAGTAATAATACCACCAATCCAGAAGAAAAAGTATGGAATCAATTGTGCCAAGTTCTTATTAAGATCAGTATCTATCGAATTGGTATCACGTGTGAATCTGGCAATTATTCTTCCAACAGGTGTTGAATCAAAGAATGCAATACATGAATGAATGATACTAGTCATTAATTTCTCATGTAATAGTTTGGCAGTATTCAAAAAGTGAATGAGGCAAAGAAATCCAGAACTAATATCTGCCACAATGTAAATCAAAGAAGTACCCAAATAGGCAAGTAAATAAGTCAACAGTGTAAAGCTTTGATATTCACTATCATTTGACCACAAGCTCAATACATATTGATGACCAACTGTTACCAATTGTTGAATAATGGCACAGAAACAAATGAGAGCAAACATGAATTTGCTATTACCAACTGCAAATTTGAATAATCTCTTCATACTATCAAGTGTGGATGGATTCTTACGTTGTTCTTCTTCTATTTTGGAATATTCTTCAAGGGATTCATGTGAAATCAATTCAATTGAAGTTTGATTCTCGATATTCTCTTCCTCTTCATCGAATAAATCTCTTTCTTCCTGTTGATTATTCTTATTGTTGGATGAAAATTCATCAATTAGATTTTTAAAATTCAAATCTTCTTGATAGAGCTCTGTAAAAGTTCCTTGTTGAACAATTCTACCTTGATCCATCACTAAAATTCTATCAGCCTTATCAATAAAGTGAATTTGATTAGTGACCATTAGAGTTGTCTTTCCCTTCAAGAATCCATAAATTCCATATTTCATAATATGATCAGCTGTATGAACATCAACTGCTGACAATGGATCATCCAATAAGAATACATCTGCATTTGAGTAGAAACATCTGGCCAATGAAATTCTCAGCTTTTGACCTCCTGATAAATTAATTCCACTCTCTCCAATCATTGTCATGTCTCCAATTTCTTTTGATATTTGTTGAAGATCAGGTTCCAAATTACAAGCATGGAGAACTTGTTGATATCTTTCCTTATCAAATTCTTCTCCAAATAGAATATTCTCACGAATAGTTTGGTTTCTAATCCAAGAATCTTGAGCAACATAGGAATATTTCAGATTAGAATCTTTTTCAAAGAATGAATCTTGAGATTCAATGAAATTCATTTCTCCCAACAAGGAGGACAATAAAGATGATTTCGATTGACCAACTCTTCCAATAATACAAACAAATTCACCCTTCTTAATTTTAAGATTAATTTCCTTCAAAGTTATTGTTGGTGATGATTCGCACTTTAGAGAATCCCATGTAAATGAAGCATTGGCATACTCTGCAACCAAATCCTTCTCCAGAATCTTCTGATTTTCCATTTCCTTATTATTAGAATCGGTGGACGATTCTGAAATTTCTTCAGAGCTGAGTAATTTGATAATTCTCTTAAAGCTTGTACAAGCTCTCGAAATATTCAGCAATGAATCAGGTACATAGATAACCTCATATCTAATCATATCGAGTGCACTTAGAAATGAGAATGATGTGCTCACACTCAAAGTTTCACCTTTCACATAACAAAAATGTAAAAAACTAACAAATGAAATCATTGGAGCAAATGCATTCCACAATACACTCATTCCAGAATCTGAAATATAACCCTTCTTGATATTTTTCATTTCCACCTCCCTGATATTCATAATTTTCCTCTTGAATAATTTTTCCATTGTATAAAATTTAACAAATCTCATTGCATAGACCATTTGTGAAATAATTTGACTTCTTTCATCCTGATTTGCCTCAATAATTTCCTCAATTTTCTGTTCCCAAATCATACATGCAGCTGAGAGTGGAAGAACAAGTATTAAAATAATTGAAAATCCAAACAATGCTGAAATTCCCAATAAATTACATGAAAACCACAAACAAGCAGCAAATGTCATCATTGATGCAATGACAGTTTCAATATAATAATAAAACCATGGAAATCTAGATGCATCTGTTGTTGCAATATTCATAACAGAACCAGTAGAATATTCATGTTTAGAACTATTACTCATTCTCAACACTTTCCTATAAATTGCATTCAATAAAGAATTACTTGTTGATTCTCCCAATTGTTGTGCAATAAAAGTTACATGATCATCAGTAAAACATCTAATTGATTTGAATATAAACATTAATAAACTCATTCCGATTACATATAAAACAGCCTCAACTGTCAATTTAAAATTTTTCACTAAATATTAATATTTGATTTAAACAATAAAGACGAGCTAAATCACATGCAATTACTATTATCCTTCCAATTATGCAAAATATCATTTTGAAAATGCATCTCTTCAATAGAAACATGACTGATTGTCGTAAATAATCACCTTTAAGTGAAAAGAAAAATCTTTCAAATGGTTCCGAAGTTATTCGAAAAGCAAAGGATGATGGTAACTTTATCAATTCATCCAAACCAATTGATCCTTTGGAGTAGTATTTTCTAGCAAGTGGAAAAATCATACTGAAAAACAATCGATTCACAATCCTCCGAAGGAGATTCACATTTTCTTCGCCAGCATCTTGTTGGTTAACATCATTGTCGCTCATTTTTTTTGTTCGATTTTATTGGAGCGGGCTGTCAAGGTTTGCCACCAATATATTTGATATTGAATATGTGTTTTTTGATTCTTAAAAGATAAAACATTTAAGTCTTAATACTGGTGAAATAGTTCATAAAAAGTGGTTGTTATGAACTAATGTGAAGCAGGGGTTCCCGAGTGGTCAAAGGGGGTAGACTCAAGTTCTACTGCGCAAGCTTCGTGGGTTCAAATCCCACCTTCTGCAGCTTTTGTTTCTTTTTCTTTCATAGTTAAACCACAAGCATTAGTTTTCATATTTTTAAATACTATGCAAAGTCTAGTAAAAACCATGAAAATATTATTTGCTATTATCTAACATCCATTAGGAATATCAATAAAGATTCCTACTGCTCAACAACAAAAAAATACAAACTTATCGTTCGTAGTTTTAAATCAGTAAGATAGTTATGTCCTAATTAAAAAACTAGTTGTTGGTATTTAAAGCTCAAAGTTGGATAATGAGATTCTCATTTAATGCATTACCTTGCATTTCTGTTCAACATGTCCAACCTGTCAAAACCTTGGTTGGGAAGTCTCAACGTGAGCATTCCCACCCACGCACAATGCAAACAACCAATCACAGCAATTCAATACATTGGTATTCAAAATTCATCAAGATGAAAAAAACACAACTATTACTTGTCACTTTAATAGTGTCACTTGTTGTCCAATTTTGTTTTCAAAACACAGTTGTGGCAAGTGAATATAATGAGAGTGTCATTGCTCGTCGTATGATGGAGAGAGGACATCCAGAACGTTCCTTCTATGAGCCCTATTATACTGGATATTTCAATAGAGATGTTTACGCAGCTGCTGTATTATCCAATGATGCTTATAATGATTTGTCAACTTCTTCTACTTATGTTCCAGAATACACACTTGTCTACAGATATCATGAGTCTGTTTCCGTGTTCAATATTTATGTTTCTACTTCAGAGAAGAAGATTGTCTTTTCCTTTAGAGGAACTGATGGTTATTTAGATTGGATACAAAACTTTGAAGCTGTTCCAGTGCCATACGCCATAACACCAACAACAACTATTTGGCTGCATGCAGGTTTTCTTTTTGAAATTTTAGAATACAAGCAAATATTGAAGAATTTTGTGAATGGTTATTCTGGATATAGAATAATTTGGACTGGGCATTCACAAGGTGGTGCTTTAGCTCAAGTTGCTGCTACAATTATTGGACAAGAATTGTCAATTCCAATGGATAGAGCTCAATTGATTACTTTCGGTTCACCTGCTGCTGGTATGGATAACTTTGCTAATTTTGCTTCTAAAAAAGTGAAACATACACGTATTGTGAATGCATATCCATGCTACCTATTTAATTGTTTTGAAGTGGATATTGTTTCTGAAATTATTCCATTTTTCGATCATTTTGGAGATTGGTTTCCAATACAAACAGATTACTATCAATATTTTAGTAGACATAGCATGGGTAATTATCAATTACAAGTTAGAAATAGAGTATTGTTTAATAATTTAATCTCCTTATCTGTTTATCCTAATTCAATCATTTATCAACAATCTTCAAGAATTTACTTCAACACTTTTGAAATTGCTTTATGTAACCGTTACTCAAGTTTAATTCTCAATTTCTATAAGAGTGGCTACAATCAACAAGCTCAATTACCATGTAAAGGTGAACAAATTGATATTACAAGTTTACCACCTGGTGTTTATGAACTACAAGGAATAGTTTCTGGTCAACCAGTTTTAACATTCCCAAAACAACTCACTATTGAAAGTCCTCCATTCACATGTCCATTCACATGTTCTGCATGTGATTATTCAAATATGAATTGCTCAAGTTGTGTAAATGGATTCTATGGTCCATTGTGTCAATTCTATTGTAATCCTAATTGTTTAACATGTAAGAGTGCAACAAGTTGTTTGACATGTAAGAATTCTATAACATCCTCTCCACCACCAACATGTGCACCTAAATGTACCAATTGTGCGAATGGTCAATGTATTGACGGTGTTTGTGTTTGTAACTCTGGTTATGGAGGTGTTAATTGTTCCTCAGTTATTTGTCCTGAAAGTTGCCTTAAATGTACAACACCATATTTGTGTTCATCATGTTTACCAAGAACATTTGGTGCTACTTGTTCATTTACATGCATTCCTAATTGTTTGACTTGTTCAGATGATAAGACTTGCACAAAATGTGATGCTGGTTTTACTGGGCAAACTTGCTCAACTGGTCCAAATTATTTTGAAACTTTATTTTTACCAACTTTCAATGCACCTTATGCAATCTTCCCATATCGCATTAGATATATTGAATCAAATGGCTACAGTATTGGAAATAGAAGAGATGTTATATTCAGCTACACACAACCAACTTCAACAACATCTGCAGTTAGTACATTACTATTCAAAAATGCTACATTTGCACCTTTTACAAGTCTATCTAGTTACTCAGCTAGATTCATGGCAACAACATCTGTTCCAGGTATTTTACTAGTCACTCCATTTACTCCAGCCCAAAGTTATCCTTCATTCCCTAATTCTCCAACAATGGTTTACAATACTGGAATTAATGAGACATTTATTGATGTTCAAACAAATTATTTCTATTCCTTTTTTTTGACTAAAGAAGGAAATGTTAGATCTTTTGGTGAATTATCTGTTGCTGGTTGTTATCCAAGTGGATTTTTTGGAGTTTACAAAACAAACTTTACAAAATTGGCTATCCCACACAAAATTTCATACCTTTCTTGCTATTCTTTACAAAATTTATGTTTCGCTTACAGTAGAGAATCAAGAAAATTATTTGCTTGGGGTCCAATTTCTGATAATTACTACGGTACAAATACTGGACTTTGTCAGTATTCACCACTAGAATTAGACATTACTACTTTTGGAAGTGAAATTCTCCTGTCCATTTCTTTTTCACAAAATGTTGTGATGTATCTAATGGAGAGTGGCAAAATATTTTACACAGGTTCCTGGAGTTCATTACTACCAAGAGTTTCCTATCCAACACTCTTATCTACATCATTCATTGGAACAACTGAGAGAATCACTAGAATAACTTTTATAGAATATAACTCTCTCATGTTCACAGCATATAATGGTAATAATTACATTGTAGGACCTTTCTATAAATTTCCATATCCAGCAGCAAATCCATCCACTTCAGGTTCTTTATGGGGAGGTGGTGTTGGAAAGCAAGTTATTGGAAATATGATTTATTCACCAACCATGTGTAATGGATTATTTGATTCAGATCCTAATGTATGTAGTGGAAACGGAATTTGTGAAGAGCTTGATATGTGTTATTGTAAAACAGGTTATGCAGGAATTAATTGTGAAGTTCCAATTTGTGGTGGAAAGAGAGCTGATGTTGCAAGTGTTTGTTCTGGTATTGGTTCATGTCTCTCACCTAATAATTGTTCATGTCCAAATGGATATAATGGTACTAATTGTGAGATTAGTTCAGTTTCTAATTGTCTTCCATCTGCATCTAATTGTCAATCATGTAAGAGTGGATTTTATGATACTTCTAAATTATGTAGACTCAAATGTTTAGTTAATTGTGAAGTATGTTCATCAAGTGAAACATGTAATAAGTGTTTAGATGGTTTGAAAGGTCAATATTGTAATGAGAAAGTTTGTAAAGTTTCCAATTGTGCAACCTGTTCAACAAGTACAGGTGATTGTTTAGAATGTAACGAAGGATATTATGGAAGTTATTGTAATATTATATGCCCATCTAATTGCAAATCATGTTCATCAGAGGTATCATGTTCAACATGTAGATCTGGATGGACAGGTCCAACATGTCAAATTCCAGTTTGTAATGAGAATTGCATTGCATGTTCATCTCCAAATCAATGTTCTAAATGTTTTAATGGATTATATGGTTCAGATTGCAGTAATACTTGTCCATCTACATGTGAAAGTTGTATCAATTCCACATCTTGTCTCACATGTCCTCCATATTCAAGTGGTTCAATGTGTGAAATTCAGACGGAGAATTGTCTTTCGTTTATTAATTCTCCGCCAAAGGTTTCAGTTACAAATTTAGGATCTTCAAAGATTATGTATACCATTTCAGTTTCTAATATTCTTTCAAGATCTACAAACATGACAAGATTATCATTCTCTGAAATTTCTACTTGTGAAAGAAATGTTACTGATCTTGTCACAAATTCTACAAGTCAATTGACATGTGAAACTCAATATTCTATTTCTACTTCTATTTCTGATTTGATTTCTGATTCAAGAGTCACTCAACAATTAGATTCTTCTGGAGTTGTTCTTACCTTGACAGTTCCAATTTACATTAGTTTAATTTCTAATAATAATTATTGTCAAATTACAAATTACAAAGTTGATCATCAAATCAAGTTATTACTTTCATCTCATCAATATATTGATATGGGTGTTGTTAATTCAAATAGTTCAATTAGTCAAATTTCATTCAGAAGAGAATTACTGTCAGTTTCGAATAACAAATTGAAAGTTTCAGGTACTTTATTCTCACAAAAAGCCTTCATTGAAAGTGTTTCATTTAGCAAGTCAGAACCAAATCACAATGTGTCATTTGATATTTCATTACAATTCAAATCAAATGGTGAATATTACATGACAATTATAGCAAGAGAATATTTAAATTACTATTCAGGTGATTTCACATTCCAAGTTTATGTTAAATCTCCAGAGGGTGATTTATATCAAGTACCATTAATTATTTCACTTTCGTATTACATGCCAATTAATCCACCTCCTTCAGAATTTAAACTTTTAACTCAATTGAGTTTATTTTCTGATAATTTCAAGGAATCAAAGAATTTATTTCAATTATCTGAAAAGCCACATGTTGTTGTAAAGGTTGTAGATACTGAAGGAAAGGCAGCTTCATTACAAAGTACAGTTAGAATTTCTATTAAGAATTCTTATTTGTGTTGTGTTAGTTCAGGTCGATCAATGCCAACATTTGATTTAACAAATGGTCAACTAGGATGTACTGTTTACAATCCTTCATTAATGACTAGTTGGATTCAACTTGTTAGAAATCAAAGTGAAATATCTCAATATGAATCAACAATTATCAAATTCCCATTTGTTAATAATCAAATTGCATTTAGTTTTAAATTAACTTCACAAATGTTTTCCAATTCTACATTTGGAAGTGTTAATGATTGTTTCATTCATACAGAAACTATTCTAACAAATGATGGAATTTCCAGTAGAAGAACAAGTAGAAATCAATTGGCTTCTTCTTCAGTTGTTGAAAGTTATCATTCATTTGATATTCTAAGATTTTTTAATAACCAACAACAACAACCTTCACCAATTCAACCATCACCTTCTGATTTAATGACATCAACTACTATTACACTCAATTCTTCCTCAATGTTAAAACATTCAATGATTATGATGGTATTATTTGTTGTTATCATTGTATGCTTAATCAACTATTATTAAATTGTTACTCTTTTTTAATGTTATTCAAGTGGGCTAATATTTTGTTGCAAATTAATCAACTTTAATAATTTGCCTTAATCAGGTAAAATGATGGGAATTCTACTACCATCATCACCAATAACCTCACCAACTTTAGCTGCTAGTACCACAACCCCATTAGAAGCACCTAATGTTCATCCTCTCATTCCCTATAGAAAATTTACCTCAGAACAACAATTAGGTCAAGTTCCTTCTCAACGAACACAAATGACACTTGTTGTTCCTCCTAGTTCTAAGCCGACCATTATCTCAAACCTGGCAAAAAAAAATGTCTACACAAAAATGGGATTTATTTCAACACTTTTGTGACGAACTCTATAAATACCACAAAGAAATTCTTGATGATAAAATATTTTCATCAAAACCGTTAACATCATTCGGAATCACAAAAACAATATATGAAGATTTTGAACAATTTACAATTAACAACAAGAATTTCAAAGGATTTCCTACAGCCAAAGGCCCGAGAATGTGTGAAAAATTGCCAAAGAAAACCAAGATTCCGAAGAGTAATGAAATTATTGTCAAAATGTTATCAAATTACTTTGCTGAAAAGAGAAATTATATTGAAAGAGTACTAAAATTAGAATTGCAAAGAGGACAAAAAATCACACTTGAAAAAAGCAATCAAAGTGATGATACTGATGAAGATTTGGATGTAAATTATTCTGCCATCCAAATTAAACAAGTGCACGAGAAAAAGCGAAAATATGTTGATGATGCAAAAGAAAGTCCAACACTTAAACAAAGAAAGATGGAGGATAGTATGTTGAAGACTAATGAGAATCCAAAGAATACTCATGATAGTCCAGTGAACACTCATGATAGTCCAATGAGCACTCATAAAAGTCCATTGAAGTCTGAAGAACCCAAGTCAACTATTCCCAAAGTTGATATCAACAAGCAAGTTATGGTAAAATTGAAACGTGATATGAAAGATAGTATAGATTATGATGAAAATCAAAAGAATAAGGATATGCCAAAGACTAAAGAAGTAAGCAAGCAAGTTCAAGCCTTATTAGAAAGTTCGAAATCTGTTTATGCCAATGAAATGCAAGAGATAACCTTGAGTCGTCAGTTATTTGAGGAAAGGGTAGCAATTAGAATCAAGTTTTTGGAAGAAAATCTACAAGTTTACATAGCTCAACTCGAAAAGATGAATGAAAACTTAGTATGCTTTATTGCTCAAAAAGAGGAAGAATTTAAAAATTTGGAGGCAAAAGAAGAAACTGAGTTGGATTCATATTTAGAGAAAATATTTGTAACCCTATCTCACCCGAAGTCGCCCGACCTGAGTTAGGCCAAAGTCGCCCAACCCGACTTCGTTCCCCGGATGTCTAATATTAATCATAACTTTGATTCTCAATATGAATATCTCATTCTACATGGAGGAACCGATTGTTATGCCAGATTCAGAGATACTGAAGTGTTTGATATTGATACAAAAGTATGGAAAGAATGTCAGCTAGTTGATTCACTTTCAATGGATGATATTCAGAGAGAAGAGAATTCAAGAGCTTCTTTGAAAAAAATTATCTTTGGGAAAGGAGAGAAAATTAAGAAAGAGAATTCTTCCACTAGATGAAATAATACATATAGAGGTAGTAATATTGGACTATGTATTTGCTTGGAGAGAGATTTCTAGCCAAACCTTCTTTGATTCACTCCTTCAAGTGATTCAAAAATTATCAAACTCATTATGAACATATATGATAAGAAATAGCTGTCAAGATTCTCTCAATTTATTCGAAAATGTTGACATTTTTGTAAGGAAACTCAAGAATCATGAGAGTTTCATTCCAGATATTTACATTAAGATTAAGGGAAATTCTTCTGGAATCACTACAATCTTTTCGCACCTAAAGCAAGGATTAGGAAACGATTCTTTTTGGCTTGCTTTTCTCGTCGCACATGTTTTTTGTTTCACACTAATTTTTTGTTTTAGTATCTTTCTGAGGTGTGTAGTTTGTAGTGTACAGAGTATGGCATTAATTTTGATGACAAGAAAGTGACATTTGTCACTGCAGGTGGAAAAACAAGTGAAAGAAAAAAGTGGAATTTCTGCTTGCAGAGAAATGTTTCGGTTTTGGTTTATGTTGTTTCGTTGGCTGAAATAAATCATTATTCGAAACTGAAACACTTACTGATCTTTCACGAATTGTACCAATAACGATTATCACGAAAGGGATGTTCTCAATACAATGTTATTTGAATGCAACAAACATGGGAAATTTCCCCAAATGCCACTCAAAAAGATTGGATTGTTATTCTCACAAGTTAACCATTACAAGAGAAATCACGTAGGGAAATGATTTATTTCAATTTAACCTTTCAAGTGAACAAACTATTCAAGTTCTAATGGCCCAGTTTGAAATCAATATATTTCATTTCGCATAGTTGTTTGTGGAACTTACATTTTGTGTGTTGGGAGTTTATTGTTTGAGTTTTCTTATTTCTTCTTCCAACATTTTAATTCTTTCTAATAGGTTGCTATTTTCCCTGGTGTTTTCATCCAAAAGTTTATATAGGTTGGTGTTTTCCTCTGCAAGTTTATCAACTTCCTCTGCAAGTTGAGAGTAACTTCTTAATGGTGAGATTTTCTTCAATTCGCCAACTTGTTTTTCAATATTCAAAGTGATATCTTTGATTTCATCTTTCAAAAATTTCAAAATATTCTCAATTGTTAACTTGTGAGAATAACAATCTAATCTTTTTGATGACTCTCTTTGAATCATGCTAATAATGCTTCTAATTAATATGCTGTTCACTCCTAAATCTGGATTAATGGTTTCATTGATTAGTTTTTCAATTGCATAATGTAATTTCATTTCTCCCTCAGTATTTGTTACAACTGTATAGAAATATTTTCCATGCCCACTAAAATATGGATAATTATCATTATATTTAGAGATGGCTGAATCATTAACAAATGTTGAACATAATTGTAATGGACAATTTGTCAATAATTTCAATAAAATACATCCCAAAGAGAATATATCACATGAAATGGTAATTTGTCCAACATTGTGAGCAAGCTTTTCATCATTACCACTTTTCAATAAATCATCAGAATAATTATCATGTGAAACTTCAGGAGACATGTATGCAAACTTTCCACGAGCAATTGTAATTGAATTACCTGTCTTGATAACTCTTGATGTTTCAAAATCAATTATTTTGTATAAATCTTGAACTTTGACAATATTTTGAGGATCTAAATCTCTGTGTAAAATATTGTGATCATGAATTGATTTGACTGAGTTTAATACTTTGATAAATATTTCAAGAATTTCAATCAACTTTTCCTTCTTAATGAATCCATTTCTATAAATTCCATCTTGATTATTTCTATAAATATAATTTGATAATGATTCCTCTCCAAGTTCCATCACTGAATATAAATGATTTTGAATAATTTCACAATCAAAACATTTGATCTTTCCTTCAATATCTGTTCTTTTCAATAAATTAATGGTTTCTTTTGTTGATTCTTCAGATTCCTCTGGGTCATATTTTAATTTTAATGCCCTTAATGATTTACTACTTTTATGAAATACTTTAAATGCAACACCTTCACCTCCATATCCTAATACTGAAATGAAATCATAATTATATTTGAAATAATTATAGAAATAATTGAGAGCTTTGAATACTTTTGATAAATCTCCTCTCACCTCGTTATATTTACACACTATTTGTTTGTAATTCTCAAATGTTTGCTCATTTTCAAACCACTTGTTGGAAAAAATCATAATTTCATTAATTTCCTGTTTTGTATAAAATAATGTTTCAAAATTTGTTGCAACTTGTTCCACAATATTCTTCAAATCTTTCATTCTTGTTGATTGAGAAGGATTATCTTCAAGAAATTTGTCCAATCTGAAACAAAATAAATAATAGTTGGCTGAAAGAAGAGTTTCAGTGGATAATTCTGAATGGTTCATTCGTTTCAATATTTGGAAAATAATCAACTTTTCAACAAATATTGGTGTATAGATAGAATTGAAATTGAATATTGTACCTTTTGGTGTTGGATTAAAGAGACTTGTTAATTCAATAGCATAATATAAATCCTTTTCATCCATAAATATTTTGGAGTATTGCTGTTCAATTATATTGCTTGACAGCTTTCTCTGAAGATTAATGTTGGCTTCTTCAATGGTTTTGGTTATAGAGGGTGAGAAGCTTCTTGTATTTTCTTTGTTCAATTTAACAAGTGAATATATAAAAATGATATCTCTTTGTAAAGATGAATCAGCATATTCAAGTGCCAATTCATGTTGTTTAACAGCTTCCAATACAATTTCTCTATCTCTTTTAAATAATGAATCAGCATATACAAGTGCTGATCCATTTTGTTTAACAGATTCCAATACAATTTCTCTGTCATTTTGAAAATAAGCATATTCAAGTGCCAATCCATCTTGTTTAACAGCTTCCAATACAATTTCTCTATCTTTTTTCAATAATAAATCAGCATATTGAAGTGCTGATCCATTTTGTTTAACAGATTCCAATACAATTTCTCTATCTTTTTTCAATGAAGAATCAACATATTTAAGTGCTGATCCATTATGTTTAACAGATTCCAATACAATTTCTCTATCTCTTTTCAATAATGAATCAGCATATTTAAGTGCTGATCCATTATGTTTAACAGCTTCCAATACAATTTCTCTATCTTTTTTCAATGATGAATCAACATATTAAAGTGCTCATCCATTATGTTTTACAGCTTCCAATACAAATTCTCTATCTTTTTTAAATGATGAATCAACATATTCAAGTGCTCATCCATTTTGTTTAACAGCTTCCAACACAATTTCTCTATCGGCTTTATTTAAATGATTCGTCTACATATTCAAGCGCATTTCCACGTTGTTTAACAGCTTCCAACACATACGTCCTATCGGCCTGTTATTTGTGATGGTCATCACACCCATTAATAAAATCGCATCACAAAACACAAACCCAATCTTCAGACATTTTTTTATTTTAAATATTATTTAATTCCTTCTCATTAATACATAATACCGATCACGTTGTTGTAATTGGGTAATGAAATATCAGGTGTCAGGTTAGTAGAATAATCAAACCCATTTGATAAAGGAGGTGTTTCTATTGTAATCTGATAAAGATTTGGGAAGAGTTTGGTTTAGAGAAAGTGATTTTGAACGAATTGGTCAAGATTTAAACTTGATTATTGATCAATCAATTGATCATCATGAAATTGTATGAAATTGTAATGGAATTTAAAATTTTCAGTGAACAATTCAAATATGAAATGGAGATTTACACTCAATCTATTCAGAATAATCAAATTTTCCATAATTTATTTGTAAAATATGATCAATCCATTGTAAGATTTTGTAAACAAATTTTAAAAGATTATGAAAATCAAAAAGAAGTCAACTCAATTTTTGCAAAGATTGGCAAAAGATTTGAGAATTAAGGAAAAAAGAAGTAGAGTTGCAAATGGAATTATGAATTTTTGGGTAGAAAGAGTTGTCAATCTTTCAAATGTCTCAATTGGTTTTAAAGTTTTGGAAAGATTTGACACCTTTACCATTTGAAAATATTCCAACAGGATTCATTCCAATAAGGCAATGTTATAAATGTTATTCCAATATCTTCAATTTGTTTGCTAACCTTCTTATCTTTCTTGATCATAAAGCATTTCGAAATCTTCTTGGTCTTTAGTTTCTGCGTTTGTTGTTTGTGGGTTGTTGTAAAGAGTAGTAAAATAATCGGCAAGCTCTTGAGCTGAAGGTCTTTTCTTTGGATCTTCATTAACCATTTCCAATATTTTTTCCCAAATTTAAAATCATCCCATTGGAGTGTTTGCATATCAACTTGAAGATCAAATTCGTCTTTTTTACAGATTATTTCATATGAGGTCTTGTTTTTGAGATACAATAAAGTAGCCCCAAGACTGTAAATGTCAATCTTTTCATCATAGTTTTGCTTTTTATGAACTTCTGGAGCTTGGAAAAGGTAAGTACCAACATTTTCATTGACCAGAGTTTTCTTACCTTCACTGCTACTTAATTGATAGCATTCACCTTGTTCTTTTACCATTTCAAAGCTTAAACCAAAGTCTATCAATACAATCCATAACAATGATGTTGGATTATTGAATGGTCTTATCATAGTATTGGATGGTTTCACATCTCTATGTACAATGTTGTTGGCGTGAAGGTATTTCAATGCAATGGAAATGTGACAGGCCATCATTAACAAAAAGTTATCATCTAAATGGTCAGAAGGGAGTGAGTGGAGATGTTCAAATTCCACATCCTTAGCATATATATTTAGTACAATGGGCAAGTAGAGACAGTATTCATCTCTGTTCATTAATTTGAGTATAATTCTTCTCTCTTCTTCACCCACTTCTTTGAATACAGAGATATTCCTTACAATGACTATATCATGGTGATTTTTCACACGAGAAATAATAGGCTTGTATTTTTTCATCTTTCTGTGGGATGTTATTCTGTTCTTTTCTGTGTTAGTTGAAAGCATCACATCACCTCCTAATAGCTTGAGGTTTTTTAGTGGTGTTTCACTACTGCTAGGTCTAAATGGCTTCACTGTGAATGTGGATCTCCTAGGTGCATGATTTTCAATGAAGAAAGCAATATCCAGCCATAACTTTAATATTTCAATCTCCTCTGACATGGAATATTCTTTAAAATACAGAGAGTATGTAGGCATTATAGAGAGGTCAGTTTCAGTAAAAGAAGCCTCTAAAATGAATAGATATGCTACACTTTTGAGATAAGACAATCCCATTACCTTACTATGTTTCATCATTAGTTCCTTTGTAAAGTTAAAATGTTGCATGTTGTCTCTTTCCATGTCAGAATAAAATCAAATTGAGAACATTTACCTTAATAAACTCTTCATACACATTATTAACTTGTAACAATCAGTTCCAGTAGTGCACCAATCCACATATTTATCTATGGATTTATCTTCTCTCAATAGAAATTTGTATCCTTTTTGCTTGGTTGCTAGAAAACCATCATTTCTAATATTCAATACAGGAAGCTCATCACTTATACAAACTTTTGATTGCTTGTCACTATAAAATGCAAGTGTTTAGAGTAAGTGTTCAATATGCAACATACCCATTCATACTAATATCTGGGAAAATAGATTTCAATACGCCCAACAATGTGGTTATAGCAGCAGAAACAACTAGCTCTCCAAGATCAGGTTCTGCGAATATTTCAGTCATTCTTTGGATAGAGGAAAGTAACTCCATAATAGTTCTTTCGGTTACATTATTTTGGGGAAAACATAAAGCTAGTGATTGTTTTAATTTGCCAAGTTTTTCCCAACTATCCACCTGCTCACAATGATTTGCAATGATTTCTAGCTTATCAATTGGAAAGTCAAAGTTGGAATCCCATTCCCTAGGAACAATGTTGAGAGTACTTAGGAATGAAGCACTGCTTTTTACCCATTTAGGATGTTGAGAGGTTGTGGAGTCTGTTGTTGCTCTTTGGCAAAAGGTTAATAGTAGTTCTAGCTTTCCTTCATCGGTGAGGAAGTCACAAGCTGTATGAAGCCTTTGGAGGAGAGATGCTGCTGCTTGGTTGTTGAGGCATTCCTTATTTGTTGGCATTTTGTTTTTTAATATTTTTGGTGGGAAGAAGGCTTCTTTTTTTATTAAGGATTATCACCTGCTAATAATTTTTCTCTTCTCTTTTGAATGAAATACCAATAACCAAATGCTCCACCTGCAACAATAATAACTCCGAACAAAAAGAGTGCAATAATGCCACCCACTAATGTACTAGGATTTATAGAGGATGATGCATCATAATTAAATGTAATAATGAATGGTGAGGCACTTGTTAATGAAGTGGGATTTGAACACTTGGCTTGAATATCAAAATTATTACTTGCACAATTATTAGAATCATAATTAATTGCCAATGATAATTTCTTATCGGAAGATAGTGTATTCTTCATTTTCAAACAGATACTTCTTGTTGTTGTAGTATCAATTGCCATTTGACATGTATGTTTTTCACCTGTTGTATCATCATTATTTGAATAACAAGTTAATATTGTTTGTTTGTTATTATCATCACTTGATAATAATGATTTACTAAATGTTAATATATTATCTTGTATTTTCAATTCTACTTGAGATAATGATAATGAATTACATTGATAATTTCCATTAGAATCCTGATTAATAGTAAATGATGAAACTGTTCCATCTTTTAAATCATGACTTCCAAATGATGATGGTGTTGTATTATTACTTTGAGCATTAATTGATATTATTAGAAAGAATAGAATAGTAGTAGCAGAGATGAAAAGATGACAATGATCACTAATAGATGATAATACTGGTTTCATTTTTTTATAATTGAAATCTAATAGAAATAGTTTGGAAAATTGGAGGTATTAGAATCTTATTAGAAATGAGCTTACAATCATAACTAATATTAAAAATGTAAAAAAATAAATTAAAATTTTATGTACAGTTTCAATCTCGCTTAATGTCTTTCTGGAACTGTTAAAAAGTTTCCATCTTGTCTTCTTCTCTCGTTTGGTATAAAATGAACTCGTTCAACAACTATATCTGGTACAGGACCACAAATACTATGTGATCTCTTTTCTCTCATTGATTGTGCTTTTGATAATGTCGTTGATGGTGCAGGTGAAGCTGATCTACGATGTGCATTCAATGCAGGTAATGAATTTCTCTTTTGTCTAAATAAGGCAAATAAATTATTATCAACTGGTGATTGTATTGTTCTATGAGTTAAATCTGGTTTTGAATTAAGTGGTGGAAGATGATATTGATCCATATTATGATGAATATCTTGTATATTATTATTATGAAATCGGGAGGGAGATGATTGATGATTCACTAGAGGAGAATGATGTGGACGAGACTTATATATTGATGATGAGGGTGAAGAGAAATGTATTTGCTGAGGAGTATCTATTAAACTTGAATAGGAATGATCACGATCTCCATTACCGTATCCCTCAGTGAGTGGTTTTATATTCACTCTGTTTTTATATTTATGATCGAATGAATATTCATCCTCAATATTTCTAACAATTGTACTTGCAAATCCACCCATATTATTATACTGTTGTTGTTAACGTTTATGTTTGAGGTTGATTTTCACAAGTATGATTTATGCAAGGCTATTTAATTTTTGGTTCGGGTTGGAACGTTTATCCTCGAGTAAATTATTATTAGCGCAATAATAAATTTAATCCCAAAGGCTTCTTAGTGTAGTTGTAATTTTTTTAATCTTTTCTACTTCTTGGCAGCAGCACAACATCTTAATAAGATGGTCTTATTAAGATGTTGTGCTACGACAACAATAGATCGGTAGAGAGTGAAACACACATGGAGCAGTGTCGTTCTGTGATGCTTTTTCTACTTGGGATCAGTCCGATTTTTGCCTTAATTGGTCCTGCGGCGCTGTTCTCGATGATATTCCTCTCATTCACCCTATTGAACACATTCAAACTCCTCCTCACATGTGTTCTCTCTTATTACTATAGTTTAATGATGAAAAGTACTGTTTTTTAAATCGAATCAAAACACAATTCTGCATCTTAATAAAATATTATTAAGGTATTATAAAATAGTAAGCGTTCAATCTTTAAATGTCCCCTACACAATATTGATTGAATTAAGGTGATGGAGTTCAAAACATAAAAAGACATTTAATAATTTAAATGGATGAATTGTTGTCGCTCATTTTTGTTGGAAATCAAATGGTTTTATTTGGTGGTAATTACATGCCGATGATTACAAACCAGCTTGCCTTAATCGTCTATAAAAAGACTAGAAGAATTAATTGGTATCAATTTTGGAAATGTGAATCAATTAATGGCGAATTGTGTGATAAACCTGTTATTCTAATCATCTGTTAAATATTTTTGAAAATGTCATTCATCATTTCTTGAACTTGAGTTTCATTTCTTGCTGAAATTACAAAATGTTTCACAATCTTATGTTCTCTATCTATTTCCATATACTTGTTTACAATAAATTTAACAATTTCATTAATATCATTATCATTTCCATTGTAATCTTTAACATGTTGTGAAAATGCAATCTTTTCCATTTTAACTTTCTGTTCCAATATTTCATATTTACTAAATATTAAATAAATTGGACAATTAATAGTAAATTCATTATAAATATTTCTAAATGTTTGTAATCCTTCTTCAAATTTACTTTGATTTTCATCTTCATAACATGTTTCATCAAATTCACTCAATGAAATAACTTGTCCAATTGCGGATAAATTATCATCCACTACATTAATCCATTTTTTACGTTCACATCTTTGACCACCTATATTATATATATTTGGATATATATTTGTTATAAATATAAATGTTTTAATATTTACCTGTGTCAATAATTATTTGATTTTCATTTAATTTATATGGTAAAGAATGAATTCCTACTGTTTTAAAACTTGCAAAAAATAAATCTTCATCATTTAAATCACAATTATTCAAATCCAGTAATTTATCAAAATTTTCCTTTTTCATAAAATATTGAATACTTTCCCAAAATGGAATTTGAAATCTATAATTTAATAATTCTTTTTGTAATCCAATATCCCAATATACTTTAAATACAGCATTTGCAACATCTACTGTCCAATGAGTTTTTTCAATATGATGTGGTAATAATTCTAAATTTGTTTCATAAAGTTTAACATTTTCCTGATTAGTCAATTTAGATTTTAAATTAGGAATATATTTCCAACTATAAAATTTTAATAAAATTGAATATACTAATAGTATTGAATCTTCTTTAATATTTACACATTTTTTAAATATTGAAGCTTTTCAACAATAAAATTTAATTATTAATAATAATGTATTTAAAAACAAAACTTACATTTACCAGAACCACCACTTCCGAATAAAACAAGTGTTTTATATTGTTGTTTTGTTTTTATATTATTAATTTCATCAATGGATGCTTGTGAATCATCTCTATTATTTTCACTATTAGAAAATAGTAATCTTTTCAATCGTTGCATTTTTTTTATTATAATAATTGATGTGGAACAACAAGTTCAATACATGTTCATGATCAGTTGTACGAATCAGTTTCAAATACTTTTACAATAATGTACAACTACTACGAGTTTTTGTCTAATCCCTGAACTCCAATAGCAGGTAATTTAGACATGGGTTCACCTCTGCATTTATTAAGGGAAGATTTACTACAATTCTTCTCAACCACGATTTTAATAATAAATTTGATAATAAGTGTTTTCATTCCATGAACCTTGTGTTACCGAAATGGAAACGTTGAGCAAAAATATCTATAGATCGGCCAAATATGGTTTGTGATCTACCCGCTCCGCTCAATTTCAGAATCCATGAACCATTCAACAATATTGAGCCTCTCCACCACACGTGTTCTCTGTTGAAAAAAAACAATAACTCAACACTACTGTAACTTTTTCTCTCCAATTAATCGCAAATCTTCAACGCCATCATCATTTAAAAATCAACAACTTGAGAATGATAATCAATAATAATGATATTAAATCATCATCAGCATCATTAACTTTCAATTTTAATGATGATCAAGTTCAACTTGAAAATAATAATACAAATAATAATAATAGTAAATATTATTTTATGTTAATGGTGAACGTATTGAATTAAAATTAAATAATTTATTAATTAAATTAAATTTAGCAGAATATTTGAGAGAATATTTAAAATTAACAGGTACTAAAATAGGTTGTTCAGAAGGTGGATGTGGTAGTTGTATTGTAATGTTATCTAAATATGATACATTACAAAATAAGATTATTAATTATTCTATTAATGCCTGTTTATATCCATTAATACATTTAGATGGATGTTCTATTATTACTATAGAAGGTATTAAACAAGATTCAATTTTAACTTTATTAAAAAGTAAAGTTGTTTAATTTAATGCTTTACAATGTGGTTTTTGTACACCTGGTATTATTATGAGTTTATATTCCTTATTAAGAAATTATTCAAAGCCTACAATTAAACAAATTGAATTATCTTTAGATGGTAATTTATGTAGATGTACTGGTTATAGATCTATTTTAGATATGGCTATATCTTTATCTGATGAATATAATCATGATTTAAATGATAATATAAATGATACTAATAATAATACTTCTATTTATGGTAATGGATGTGGTAATTGTAATAAAGAAGGTGGTTGTTGTAAAGTTAAAAATAAAACAACTGAACCAACTCCATCCAATGATGATAATACTATTACTAATAATAATATTAATAATAATATAAATGAAATTAAATATGAAAAAGAATATTTATTTCCATTTGAATTAAGAAATTATAAATTTAAATATTTATCATATAAAGATGATAATATTGAATGGTATAGACCAATTAATTTAAATGAATTAAAAAATATAATATTAAATTTAAATTCTAAAAATATAATTCCTAAATACATAATTGGAAATACAGAAGTTAGTTTGGAAATTAAACATCGTAATTTAGAATATTCACATTTTATATCATTAATAAATATTAATGAAATGTTAAATTTACAATTAAATGAAAATTCTAATGAATTATTAATTGGTTCAAGTATTACTATACAAAAATTAATGGAATATTTAAATACATTTATGGAAAGTAATTTAGAATTTAAAAATAGAAAAATTAAAACAATTTTAGATCAATGTAAATGGTTTGCATCTACTCCAATTAGAAATGTTGCATCTATTGGTGGTAATATAATGACAGGTTCACCAATTTCAGATCTTGTCCCAATTTGGCAATCTTTAAATGCTAAATTAAATTTATTAAATATTAAAACAAATGAAATTAGAAATATTTCAATTAGAGATTTATATATTGGATATAGAAAATTAAATATATTACCTACTGAAATATTATTGAATGTAATAATTCCAAATATAGTAACTGATAATAATATTTATTGTAAAGCATTTAAACAATCTAAAAGAAAAGAAGATGATATTGCAATTGTTAATTCATGTATGACAATTAAATTAAATAATAATAATATAATTGAAGATTGTTCAATTTCATTTGGTGGAATGTCATTTATGGTAATTTATTTAAATTATTTAAATGAATATTTAATTGGAAAGAATTTTATTGAAAATTATAATTTAATTTTAGAAAATTCAATTAAATTATTAAATGAAAAATTAAATTTAAATGAAAATACACCAGGTGGTCAATCCTTATATAGAATGACATTATCACAAAGTTTTTTAATTAAATTTTTTACACATGTTAAAAAACAATTAAATTGTTTAAATATTACAAAAGAAGAAGAAAGTATTCAAAGTGAATATCATTACTTACCTAAAATAGATAAATATGAATTTGGACAATATATTCAAGATTTAAAATTAAAATCAAATATAATTGATTTAAATTTAGTTAAAGAATTAAATACTATTGGTAAAAATCATGTTGATATATATGGTAAAAAATCAGTAGAAGGAAAATCACAATATTTAGATGATATTCCACATTTAGAAAATGAATTACAAGCCTATCCTATATTTACAACACAACCTTATGCTAAAATTATTGAAATTGATGAAAGTAAAGCACTTGAAATGGAAGGTGTTAAATATTTTGTAAATTATAAAGATGTACCAAATAATAATATTGGTATTGTAATACCAAATGAAGAAGAAGTATTTAAAAGTAGTGAATCAACTTCATGTGGACAATTAATTGGTTTAATTTTAGCAAATACTTTAAATCAAGCAAGAGAAGCATCTAAAAAAGTAATTATTAAATATCAACCATTTGAAAATAGTAAACCTATACTAAATATAGATGATGCTATTAATAGTAATTCATTTTTTAATGATCAATATAGACATTTACAAAGTTCAAATATTTCATTTTCTGAATTTAAAGAAATGATTAAAAATACTAAAATAGAAAATGAATATGAATATATAGAAGGTGATTGTTATATTGGTGGACAAGAACATTTTTATTTAGAAACACAATCATGTTTAGTAATACCTGAATCTAATAATTTTATTGAAAAGAGTGGATGGACTATTTATTCATCAACTCAATCAATTTCAACAACTCAACAATTAGTTTCAAAAGCTTTAAATTTATCAATGAATCAAATACAAGTTAAAACTCCACAAAAAATAGGTGGTGGTTTTGGTGGTAAAGAAACAAGAGCTTCTGTTTTAGGTAGGTTTTTTTTTAAATTTTATTTATTTAATATTTATTAATTTAATATTTAATTTATATTTTTAATTTAATATTTTAATAGCATGTGCATGTGCAATTGGAGCATTAAAAAGTCAACAAACAGTTAGATTAGTATTAGATAGCATTCAGA